AGTAAGGATGAACAGCACGTGGTAATTTACTCATAACTCCCATGAGCCCTGCACTATACTGTGCATCAGGAATGCATCTGCATCTGATCTGCCCAGCATCTGTGTCCACAGAACTTCTTATGCTGCGTGGAGAAGGTGACTGCAATTAAGCAAGAATGTTCCATGTGGATGGTGACAGCAGCCTGAGGCCCTCCTAACCTGGTCCAGCAGTCCAGGAAGGTCTTCCAATGAAAAGATACTTAAAATAATAATAATAATAATAATAAAGAAGGAATACTTAGGCATTTTCTGGGAACACAGCGACTGGAAGCAGTGGTATGTAGCCAATAAATACTCATTTATGCTAGATAGTTTTGAAGTTTGAAAAAGGAGTCTTGTCACATTTGGATTTCAGAATCCAGGCAGATTTACTACTTAATCCTGAGTGTTATTGTCACAATTTTGATACATCCAGAAAATTTTTCCATACGAGTAAATGTTTAAATACAAGCAGGAAACTGAGACTCAAAACAATAACTGATAAAAAAAAACTAGAAATACTTCCTGCCCTCCTTTTCTCTGTGTCTTTCTCTGTCTCTGTCTCTCTCTCTCTCTCTCTAACACACACATACACATCTGTTAATCTGGTAAGTAAAATATAAAGTATACACTAGCCCATTTTAATTACATATTAATGATTTGTCTTGGAAGAGCTTATATTCCATGATTACATATTGGTGATTTACACATAAAATGAAGATTTTTACATTTTCATGAGTGAAGCTTGCTCTAGTACAAGATAAAAGACTGAGCGTGACTTCTGTCTCCCAATACCTTGGCCCCTAGAATCTGTTAGTTTGCTTACAGTAGTTAAAAAGTTGACAAGTTAGTCATCGAGGGGTCAGAAGAGTTGTCCTAACCCTGTATTCATCACTACCTCCTCGGGGATGTGGTCATTTCCTCTTCCCAAGCCCTGGTTTAATCATTTATGAATAGAGGAAATTAGAAAAGCCTTTTTTGTTTTATGACTTTCTGAAGATAACACAGTTCCTTGTGGTACTCTCTGGCTACTTTTTCTTTTAGTACTGTTAGGGGTTTGATTCTGAATATTCCAACAAAGCCTCAAGTGCACATGAGCGGGGCTTGTGGAAGGTGGTTCAATCAGGGGCGCAGTTCTCATCAGGGAAATCATCCATCCAATGGTGAGTTCAGCACTAAGTGTACTGCTGGAGGTGGGGCTTGGCCAGGAGAGACAGGTCGCTGCGGGGGTGACCTGGAAGGGTTTCCCCACCCAACACCCTTCACACTTGGTTTCTTGGCCACCATGTTAGGAGCAGCTTTCCTCCACTTTGCCCCTGTGCCAGCCATTTCTGCCTGGGAACCAGCAGACCATGGACTGTACCTTTGAACCAAAATAAACCTCTCCTCCTCGAAGTTGCAGGTGTTGCATATTGAGTCCCAGCAAGGAGAAAGTAAAGGACCGCAGAGGCCATGCTTTCCACGTGGCACTCTGCCCCTATGTTTTAGCACGTGGCTGACACAGGTCAGAGTCCAACAAACATTTGTTCCAAGCGCTCATGCCACAAGAGGTTTGGTATTTCCTAACTGGTGTTTGTGAGAAGCTTTCTACAGACAGATGTATGGATTTTTCTCTTTTCTTGTCTTTCTTTTTTTTTTTTTTATTTTACATTCTAAAGGATCTATTTTGGAGCCACCACTGAGATGATTCCAGTCACAAAGCCCATGGCTCCAAAAATGTCCCTGTCCTTTCCAGGGCTGGAAAGAAATGAGGCCAGCATAAAAAATTTCATCAGAATAAAATCAATCGTCACCCATACTGTGACAGTGAGGGTTAGCTGACCCTGAAGTGAAAATTTTAAATCTTAGAACCGTTAAACATTGAGGAATCAGAAGAATGATTTGTGGAGTAGAGCTACCTTTGACATAATTATATAGATTATCTCTTAGCTGTAATCATTTATTTGTTCATTTGTTTGCGCAACGTTTTAGTTTTCACCATACACCACATGTACATAGCATCATCGAGACAAATGATGGATGTGCACCAGTCCTGAGTGTGCAAAAAGGCAGGTGGCCAAGGGGAAGAAAAGGGATCAACCCAGTGACTACAAAGTTGACTGGGAGAGCTAAGTACTGGTGAGCCTGTTTGATTGAAGTCTTTCTGTCACTTCTAGACTGTAAGCTCCAGGAAGCCAGGGAAGCAGCCCCTCTGTATTGTACAATATTGAATCCTCAAGGCTGAACAATTCCTGATTCATAGCAGACACTTCATATATGTTTATCAAATGAGGACAGTGTCACTTAAAGGAAGTCTAAAAAATAATACTGGTGCTGCCGGAGAAGTAGAGCTTAATCTCAGCTAGGGAAATCATGTGATCAAAGCTGAGAGGGACCATTGAGGTTAATACTTTCAACTTTCACTTTCATCTCTATTTTCAAAATAAGGAAACTCACAGAAAGAAAACTTTTGTCCAAGGTCAGCAGTATGGGCCAAAGTTCTCCTCAATCTGAAATTAACATGTTTAAATCCTAGCCTCCAGCACCTCAGATTGTGAGTAAGGGGCCTTAAAAATACAATAGTATTTCATTAAGGCCAGTGTGGGCTCTTGTCCATATTAACTGTTGTCCTTATAAGAAGACACATGCAAAGTGAGAGACCATGTGCAAACACAGAGAGGAGACAAACATCTCCAAGCTACCAAGTCTGTGCTACCAGGAAACAGTACACACAGAAATTGATGGCAAAGCTGAGCTAGAAGCCAGGTCTGCTGAAAGTCTATCCTTGGCCCATCCAGTCTTCAGCATTCTGCCTGATACCCATTGCTGAGGAGGACAACAGTAACAGTGACCATAGGCAACCTAGTGCCTAGAATGTACCAGATTATCCTCTAAGTACTTTCCACACATTTGCTCACTTAATTATCCCAACAGCTCTGTGAAGTAAGTAGTGTTACTGTCCCATTTTCGTAGAGGAAGAAACTAAAGCACAAGGAGATTTAGCAGCTCTCCTAAGGGCACAGAGCTCCAGCTCCAGGCAGCCAGCTTTGGGAGTTTGCTCCTCCAATCCTGGTATTCTACTGGGGTGTGTCTGTAAGCCAGAGGCATTTTCAGAGAGGAGAGGTACTGGAGAAGCGTCACTAGATTGGCTTCCATACAGTCATTAGACACAGAGATGCTTACTGCAATTTTAGGTCACTGGAGGAATAAAACAAGAGAATTGGAGCCTGCCTAAGAGTTGAAGTGTTAGAATTTATTTACTCCAGAATCTTCCATATATTATATATGTGTGTATATATATATATATATATATATATATATATATATCACCATCTGAATAAATCCTTGTAAGTGAAGGATGCAGACTTCTTCAGTCAAAGTACAATGAAGTAAGAGAACTAGGTTTGAATCCTCTCTCCAGCACTTACTGGTGGAATGACTTGAGTTTATGGAATCTGTCTAAACCTGTTTCTTTTTCCAGGGGATAAAGGAAATAATACCCATCTCACGGATTAGACATAGCATATGTAAAACACTGGTACAGGTGCCAACACATAGCTAGTGACCAATAAGCAGAACTCTGATTAGGTAAACAAAGTGACCACACCCAAAGGTTCTGTCCTCTGGGAAACCCTGCCCAATCCTTCATCCTGCCTAGCCTGAATAAATTGCTTTTTGTTCTGGCTCTTGAAGGAAATTGCTTATAATTTTCTTTGTCATTCAGTTTGTCTTTCCTTATGTTGCAAAAGATAGTGACACATCCATTCATATACTCAAAATACAATTGTGATATTTGCCTCCTCTCCACTTTGTCAAGCCTGGGGTGGGGGTGGGATCAGAGATGGGCATGGCATGGTTCTTATCCTGGTGGGTTTGGGCTTGTGGAGTAATCTAGGCTTGCGTGACTTACACGCAGGACACTCAAATAATACATTTATAATTTCACTGTATCTTAGTAGTATTTTTCATTGGAAAGCCCAGCATTGTGTTGGATTTTGAGATACTTTTTTTTTCTGGTTTAGCATTATTTTTATCAAATAAGGGAGTCATAATATTTTCAGATTTTTTTTCAAATTACCTTCTAAAGGTTTTAATCTGGTTTGGCTTGGCAACAGACATATTAAGGAACAATTACAAAGAACTGTGTGCCGTGCGGACCTAGAAAAGTTTCACTGTTTTTTGAGTCCACTGAACCACGCTTTTCCTTGCTTCCTAGTCCTTCAGGGTGCACCGGGCTTAAACGCCAGCTCCTCCAGTGTGGTACACCAAAAGGATGGGGACGCTCGACCAATTCCCCTGAAGCCTGTGCTGTGGACCTCACATATTGTACTTCTTGTTTTCTGTGAAGAAACAGTCCTGGGTGTTAGGAATGACTGATCCACGTTCACACAAAGGGAGGGTAGCATTTGTAAAGGTAGTATTTGTAAAGGCTAACATCCATTACATCTGTATCAGATGTTCCTTTTTTTTTTTTTGTCTTTTTCGTTTTTATCGGTACCAGGGATCGAACTCACGACTGCCTGCTTGCAAGGCAGGTGCTTATGCCGCTGAGCTAAATGCCCATAAGCTAAGCACTGGGTGAAGAGACATCTTTACAATTCTCGTTCAATCCACCAAACAACTGGATGAAGCATGTGACGAGATCAGGAGATCATTTCACAGACTAAGCTATAGTAAGGCTTTCACAAAGACGGCCAACTGTTAGGTGGCTCAGTCTGGGTTCGCGTTCCATAGGTGGTGACTGACGTCGAAGTGACAGCCCCCTTAGGGTACCAACAGGTACCCCTCTAGTAGGTAGGTGGACCACAGAGAAGGATCGAAGTTCAGCGCTGAGGGGAGCTGATCTCGCTCCGGGCCTGGGGCGGGGCCTTCGGTTGCCGGCTCGCTATTGGCCATCCCTTTGCGAGAAATCCCGCCCTTCGCCGAGCGAGGGCAGGGATTGGCTTTGTGAGGCTGATTGACGGCGTAGGGCGCGAACCGGGCCTCGGTAGCGGAGGCGGGGCTGAGAGCAGGAAGTGGAATCCCGACCCGGCGGCGGGTGGCGAGTGTGCTGCGGCAACTACTGTCCAAGGAACTGCCTCAGCTGCGGGCACCCGAGGCGATGGAGGGGCCAGGGCTGGGCTCGCAGGTGAGTGCGGCCGACCGGCGGGTCTCTAGCTGCGGCTGTGGCGAGGGTGCGACTGGGAAGCGGTCGCGCCCGGGGCCTCCGAGGGCGGCGAGGCCTGGCGGGAAGGGGGGACCTGGGGATTCTCTGAGGCTCTGAGAGGGAGAGACGCGGACACACTGCGAAGGCCCCCTGCATCCCTGGGCCGAGGCGCCCGCGATCAGTACCCAGCGCCTGGCAGGGACCGCTGTGGCGCTTGGGGAGGGGAGGCGTCCCTTCTGGGAGCGGTGTCCAGTGACACCTGCGTGCCACCGACTTGACCTGCACCTGGAGACCGAGTGGTTCTCTTGATTTTCCAGCCCAGGAGCCTTGGCACCTGTCTTCTTTCCACCCAGCCCTGGTGTCGCCCTTGTTCCCATACTTGTGCTTCCTTGAAAAAATTAATAAGGCTATTTGTTTAGGCTAGGGGCTGGGAAGGACGCGATGGCTATCTGCAAATCCCAAGTGATTCTGTTCTGTGAAGGAGGTTCTGGTTACTAAAGCCAGATGTAGTTCCAGAGAACAGAGTTAGAACGAGTGGAGAAAGTTACGGGAGGTAGATGTTAACTGCAAAAGAACTGGCATTTTATCTGTTTTGTTTCCCCCGCAAACAGATACAGGCTGCCGCAAGTAGATACAGGCTGGCATGTTAGTAGGTGCTCCGTTAGTGTTTGTTGAATAAATAAAAGATTTCCAGATTCAGCCAGTTTTACTGAGTGCTGATCATATGTCAGATGCTTTTCTATGCTTCATTTTATTACAGAATTGACGTAGCCTTAGGAAGATTGTGTCACTTACACGTAAGAACAGGAAAGCTGTCTCCAATTAGAGTGGTTTTGGTAGGAGATGTTCAAGTAATTTGAGGTGAGGGGATGAGGCAGACCCTTTTATAAAAATTCTATCCAACCCTGAGCGTGAACTTCATCCTTCCCTTTTTCTTTTCTTTCACTAGTCTGGTGCAGGTTTAAGTGAAAAAGGGTGTCTGTGTGTTCTTCCTGGGGTTTCTTCCATTTTGAAAACAAAATGGTTTTTCAGGCTACTTGGATTGTGCAAAAGGGTGTAGAATCCTCACATGGAAACTGTCTCAGGCTTTTTCTCAACCTCAAAGAAAAGTTGGGAGGAGTAACTACGTCTTAATTACTGCCACTCCTTTATTGTAGCCTTCAAGTGCTTGCAGTTGTCTCCTGCCAAGGGGACAATGACCCTGCCCTAGTTCCATGAGCTATCAAGGGCATAGTTGATTTGGAGCTTGAAATTAGTAAAGCAAAGTAGACTGATTCTGCTGTTAATAATAATTGCTATGATCAGTTGTTTATTTTTTCAGTTCTAATGTGAAGACCCTACTTAGATATGGAGCTTTACAGTTTGGAATATATATCCTCATACTTAATCTACACTGGGATCCTGTAAGGTGGGAAAAGAGGATTTGTTTTAGGGATGAGAACTGAGGCTCAGGAAATCAGACTCGCTTGCCAGCGGTCAAAAAACAACTAAGTGGCTAAGCCAAGACTTCATCCTTTCCTTCACTGGACAAGTGTGTTTTGAATATCCACTGGGAGTGGGCCACTATTCTGCTTTTGTTGAATTTGGTTCCACTGAACCCAAATTTAATTCCAATGTTTTGAGGTTGTTTTTTTTTTGGGGGGGGCAGAATTTATATGTACAATATGGCCCAGTTTCCTTTCTAACAGCAGTATTTATTGTGTTCTTGCTTGTCCAATGAACTCCAGCCTCAGGGCCTTTTATGTGCTGTTTACTCTGCCTAGAAGGCTCTTGCCCTGTGTGTCCACATGGTTAATTCTCTCACCTTTTTCAATTCTTGAAACAAGTGTCATCTGAGTATGATTTTCTGGGACCCCAGTATTTAAAATTGCAAGCCCCTCATCACTACTATCAGAAGTACTCCCTGGCCTCTTACTTCGCTTTATATTTCTCCTCAACTTTTAAAATCATTAATAAACTAATGAGTCCTGTAAATGGTCTTTTTCCCTCCACTGAATGTAAGTATTGTAAGGGCAGTGTTTTTTATCTGATATATTGACTGCTATGTGTCTCGTGTCTAGAGCAGGGACTAGCACTTATGAATAGATTTGAAACTTAACTTCTGTTAATGTCATGAGCTATTATAACAGTTAACTGTCAGATCTCAGTGTCTCCCCCTCTTCTATTTGATTGGATTAGCAGGCCGGGATAGTGACCTTCATCAGAGTTTACGCTTTTCTAAATCTTGATTTTCTCTTGAATTGATTTCCCCTGGAAGTTCAATAGAACGTACTATTTTTTAAAAATTAATTTCTATTTCCATACAAGAAATAGCATGCAATCCCCTAGTATAGTTTAAAGATGTTGTAGCTGTCTGTTGTGATGTAAGAAACCACTTCAAAACAATGGTAGTTTGAAACAATCCAGGCTAATGAACTCTTTGCCTGAGGAATTCAGACAGACTGGTGCCAGGTTGGTTGGTTTCTGGGCCCCCAGAGCCTCAGCTGGAAAGTCTCCTGGCAAGGGGTGCCTCGGTAGCTGAGGCTGGTATCATCTCCGTGGAGTCCTCTCTCACAGGTCTGGCAGTGGCTGCTGACTTTCAGCAGGGACAGCTACACAGGACCTGGGCCTAGGTACAGTGTGGTGGCTGGGTTCTTAAAAAACCATCTCAAGAAACAGGAAAGAGGAAGCTACTGGTTTCTAACTAACTGGCATGGCACTACAAAAGCAGTATTTTATTAGTGGCACTGTCAAAGAACTTCAAGTCAAGAGGGAGGACCATAGACTTCCCCTACCTCCACTTCCTGATGGTGTGGTAACAGAATTTGGGGGATATGTTGTGAAAATCACCACAGATATAGCTGGATGTCCCTTGCATGATTTTCATAATATCTTGCCCCCCACACACACACACTGAAGTCTCTTTCTCTCTCTCGTCCTCTTCCTATCTCCTCTTTCCTTCTCTCTCTGCTTTCCTGCTGTGTATTAAAACAATAAGAAAAGGTGTTATTTAATTTAGTATCTTGAGCCATTTGTAGACTGGAATCCAAGGTGGCCCAGAGGAGGTAAAATGGAACAGAGCTGGAAGGATTTGCAGTGACTTACCTAGTTCAGGGATTCCTCAACTGACATACAGGATAAGCTTCAAGATGTCTGTGGACGTCTGATTATACACAAAATCTGGACAATATGTGCAGCTTCATGCATTTCTCTGAGAGACCTTAGTTTTAGTAACATTTTCAAGCAGGGCTATGACACTGGAAAGGTTTGAAAACTCTTGATGTAGTCAAAGCCTTCTTATTTCCCTGTAACGCTGAGCCATAGTAGGATCCTACAGAGTCCAGGTCTCTGGGCTCGGGATGACATAGTGTTCTCTTCCTCACTGTTCAAAGTATGGTCATGACTGATTGCTTGCTGTCTCTGGGCATCTGTGCATTCTTCAGTCCGAGGCCTAAGGACTCAGCAGTAGTTGACTATATTTTGAGAATAGAGAAGAGAATGTGAACTCCTAGAAAACCAAGGATCTTGCTGTTGTGCTCAGCATCATGTTCCATGTCTAGATGAGTCCCTGGCACACACTTAAGTAATAAGTGAATAATGATAGAAATTGTGTCTTACTAACTTGCATTCTTAATTACCTAGAACTATGCTTGGTATATAGCAGGTGACCTTTACATTTCCCCAAATGAATGCTTAATGAAAGTGCCTGTGACTTCGCTGGCATCACTAGTGAATTCTGTTACTTTTGCCCTGTAGACAGCCTTGGAGCTGAGGAGCTCCCCTATCCAAATCCAGCATGTGAGTCCATAGTGACTATTTAAACAGTTCCCCTCCCCTCACACCAGAAACCAAGTGCCCAGCCTGCAATGCAAACACAGCGATTAAACTTGAATGTCTGATGCTCCAGAGCTTGGATTGCTTGGCTCGTGTGCCACCCAGAGAGAGCTCTGCATGGCCACTACAGCACGCGTGCCATAGGTTTGCCATCACTGCCTTGCACTGTGCACATGGGAGCCTGGCAAAATTGTACACACAGTGATCTGCCTCATTCACTATACAAAAGTAAAAAATGGAGCTCGAAACCAGGTGGAATATTATCCACTGCCATACAGGCAGCATGACAGTACCAGGACCCTTTGGCTAGATAACCCTGGTGTCATCAGTGCTACAAGGACAGGTTAGTCAGAGAAAAGACTGCAGAGGAAGGTACTCGGTTTCTTCTTCCCTAAGCTTCAAGCCTGTCTTCTTCTCTGTGTATCTTCACCTCCTTTTCCTGACTCCTTTTTAGTTCACAGAAAGCAAAAGTTACACTCCCCAGTTTTGAATGTGGAGACAGAAGCCAGTTACCAAATTCATACTATCATGGGACATGTTACTATAGGATTTGAAAACGTATCAAAATTATGTTCATTGCCTAATAGCTCACTGTATAATCATGGCAAGATTGGAATTAGCTTTAGTGCATACAGATCTGCTTCACATTAACCTTTTTCAATAATTTTGAAATTTGGGGGAGAGTGGCTTTTCAGGGTGGACTAGATTGTCTTGGTTCATACTTCAAGTGACTGATGGCTATGCTTTAGCTATGCATGGAGAGAAATGTGAGCTCTGCCATTTTCTTGTTTGTGCTTTTGTCCTTACCACCCCAATTCATGAATTCTTTGTAGAAAACAGCTCAAGCTATTTGCTTATTTTGGGGAGGAATAGATTAGTTAAGATTAGATGCTAAAATCTGAAGAATCCATAACCAGATATATGCTATGACATGTGAAGGTCCTACTGGCATCACTTCTAGCTGTGTGTAACCTTTACCTTGTGAACAGAACTCAAGGGTGACCTGGTTGACATACAGATCATTGAGACTGCCAGTGTTAACAATTAAACCTTTGTTGTTGTTGATATTAAGAGTCATTATAACAGAAGCTTAACATTTTCCCCCATTACCTAGTGGCTTGCAGTATGACCTTGAGTTCACTTGTCTCACTTTGGATACCATTGACCTCAAGCACAGGCTTTGAATTTATATTTTCATTTTTTATGTTTGACTTTGATCTGGATTTAGGTCAGAAATGATGGCACGAACAGAAGGTTCCTCCTGTTCCTTAGCCTTGTCACCCATTTTTGCCATTTAATCATAGATTACCTTCTATTTTTGCTTTACCCTGTATGTCCCTGATAAATCGTCCCCATCAGGTTTATCTCCTGAAGGACACACACTGTCTTTTTTCTGCTCTTATCATGATACTTTGTATTTCACAAATACTCTGCAGTTCATTGTTGAATAAGTAAGTGCTCTTATATATTTCCTATGGTGAAGTATATATTGGATAGTGAAAAAAAGCCTTTAACACCTTAAGGCATTGTGAGAAGCACATGTTTGTAACTGTACATGAGTCAATTTCCTGTGACTCATTTCTGTGTATAAATAATGATTAACCACTCCTGTCTTACAAATAGAAACAGATATACACAATCCACTAGAAAAACAAACTAGGGAAAGGCAGGCCTCAAAAGAGAAAATATGAAACTCTGGTACACATAACAAAACAGAGCACTCTAATTAGCAACTGGGATTGTGCAAATGAAAAGCAGGATGCCATTCTTTTAGCCAGCAGACTGACAAGATTGTACAAAGATTGATACCCAGTTCTGGGAAGGCATATAGGGAAGAGGTTGCATGTACCTTGCTCTTAGCAGTGTGAAGGGAGAAGGTATTTGGTCAGTATCTTTTTTATGTTTAAAATGTCTGTTAAAGTCAATGGTCCTATTTTGGAGAATTAATCCTATAGAACTAGAATATACAGTGTGTTTGTTGTAGGAATATTTATAACATTGAAAAGCTGAAGCCACCCTATATCTGTAACAATAGAATGGTTGAATAAATTATGTTAGCGCCATACATTATACTACCATTCAGCAATTATCTGCCATATCCCACATGATATATTATTAAAGAAAAGCAGATTGAAGAATAATGTATACACAGTGATCCCATTCTTAATTAAATGCAAGAAGAAAGTGATTAAAAGAGAACTCTGTATTTGTGAATATGGTATAATGTGTGTATTTGTATATGTGTAGATACATCTAAATTTATCTAGAATCCACAAGCCATCTGTAAAAGAACAAATCTAAGTATGGAGGTAAATAAAATAAGGAAGTTATACCAAACTTAATTGTGTTTCTCTGATGGTACAGTGTTGGATGGGAAGTCTGGATTGCTAACCCTTTACTAACTTGTGTTTAAATTTAATGTATATCCTTTTATAATTTTAAAATTCCAATAAAGCAGTTACATTTCATCGTGTTACTCGTTGACTCTAGAAAGGCTAAGTGTAGTTCAAATCTTTTCCTTTAACCCTTTGTCCTCTACCAGCTGGATATGAATACAATCACTGTAAGGCATAAAGAACTTAAATAATATTCCTGTTTACCTTTGAACTATTTACATGTTATTGTAGCTGTGGTGACTGCATATATTTGACAGTTTGCCGGATAAGTCAGCTCTTAGCTATTCAAAAGCACATCTATGGTTTGGCTCTGGGTAAGATGGGGGAAGGTCTCTGCCTCCTGTCTCACTGAGTGTAGCTAAGAAGCCTGAACACAACCCAGATAGCAGCTCTTTAAGGATTCCCAAATGAACAGTAGCAGTTAGACTGAAGGCCAGAATTCAAAAACTTCTAAACCAGTGTCTGATTTGCATTTGTCCCCCTCTGATCTGACAATCATTGTGCTGACTTAAGCCCTAAAAGTGGGCACCAGTGCCTACAGAGCTCTCTGAGAAGCCAGCAAGCTCAGCTAAGGAGCAGGGAAGGAAGGGGTGGGTCCTCTTAGCTCAGCTAAGGGGCAGTGCAGCAAGAGACACTGAGGGGGCGCTCTCCAGAGAGGCTCTCGGATCCCTGGAGAAGAGTTCTTAGAGGGAATACAAAAAGCACGATCCATCTATGAAAGAGCATATTGATAAATTGGACTTCATCAAAATGTTAAACTTCTCTGAGATACAGACCTTTAGGAAAAGGAAAGCTATAGAATAGGAGAAAATATTTGTAAATCACATGTCTCACATATGACCTATCTAGAACATACTATATAATATAAGGAATTCTCAATTGAAAGCAGACAATTTAAAGATGGGCAAAGACTTGAATGGAAAGTCACTGAAGAAGATGCGTAAATGGCCAGCAAGCATTTGCAAAGATGCTCAACCTCATTAGCTATTAGGGATAGCAGTGTAAGACCATGATGAGACACACTGCATGTTGATTGTACTGACAGTTGCCCGAGTTGGCGGATAGTACTCTGCTCTGTCCTTTTCTGATCTCTAGCTTTTTTTTCTAACTTGTATGATTTTCTGTTTACACACACTGTTAGTTATTGAGAGAAGAGCTGAAATCTCCAGCTGTATTGGTGAGTCTTTCTATTTCTCCTTTTCGTTGCATCAGTATTTACTTCATGAATTTTCAAGCCCCTTTTCAGTATCTTTACATTTACTATTTTTGTATTCTCTTAGTGAATCAGTGTCTTTGACATTATGAAAATCATAGGTAGCTCTGATATCTACCTTACACTTAATGTTTTTGCATGGTTTGTGATGGTTAGTATTGTTTTATGGCATACCTTTTTCCATTTTTTTACTTTTAAACCATGTATGTTTTTACATTTAAATTGAGTTTCCTTTGACAGCATTTTAGTGTTTTATTTGTAATCCAATCTAATAATCTCTTTGATGGTTCTAAGATCATTTAATATAATTATCAATATTGTTGTATATGAGGATATCTTGTAATTTTGCTGTTTTCCTCTTTACTTTGTTCATATTTTACTTTTCTTGCCCTTTTTGTATTAATTATTTTTTAACATTAGCTTATTATACAAACCTTTTTGTTCTATTTATTTAGAAGTTGCTCTTGAGATTAACTGGTTGTTATAGCACTCACCTGTAATCCCGGCACTTCTGAGGCTGAGGCAGGAGGATTTTGAATTCAAGGCCAGCCTATACTATATGGCTAGCAAGACACTGTCTCAAAAGCAAAAACAAACCAGAAATTTGTTCTTCACTTAACAGTGTACTTTTAACTTATTATAATTCACCTTAAAGTATCATTTTAGCATCTCCTACAACACTATATCTCTATTTCCCTATCAGGGAGGAATTTTTAAAATTATAAAAGGTCTTTTCACAAATACAATAGTTATTCACATAGTTCAGATGATGAACTCAAAAGGCCATCGTATTACAAGGGAAAACTAAAATGCACTCATAATTCACAGAATGGACAGTTGATCTTATACTAAGATTGTTGTGGGCTTTCTTTTTAAAACTAATGTTACAGAATTCATATTGGAGTTCTGCAAAAATTTAAGCTGTTTTTGAGATTAGAAATAATCTTGAAACTACTAAATCTAAGGCTTTGTTCAAAGTTTGCCTGTTGGTCATAGTTCTAATAGGTTGTCTGAATGTAACACTACTGAGTTAATGGAATCGTCTTGATAGTGACTCCTAGGCTGAGTTGTGACCCATTTGGAGCTAAGAGTCTTCTTCCAACCTCATGAGATTATTGACAGAAGTCAATATTGAGCAGATGATCAAGCTCTTGTTTCCTGGGGTCCAAGTGCATTTAACTTCTAGAGGCTACCCACAGTTCTTGCCATGTGACCCTCTCATTAGACCTCTCATATCACAGCTACTTCCTTTTTCAAGATCAGTAGAAAAGTCTGCCAAGACCATGTATGTAGCAAAAGGTGACAGTGATTTCCCATCACCTCTGTCACCTTCCATTGGCTGGAAGCAGGTCAGTGGACTAGAAAATCATATCATTGCCTAGAAGCAGCAATGTGATGTCCATATTCAAGGGGAAGGGAGAAAACAAAAGCTTCGGAGGTAGGTATGTTTAGGATGTGTCTACCATAGCCTTCTGAGATGGGGTCCTAACAGTCGCCTCACAGTGTTAAGGGGCTTCAACCCACTGCAAGTAACAGAGGTCACTTGTGTTTTTAGATAGCCTGTGTTTTATGACAAGGTGTGTAGTTTGGAGTTTTCTAATGTTATCTTTTTTCTTGTGAACAGAATTAAGATAGAGAAAATCTGTATTACTATAGACATTGTTATTGATTGATAGTGGCAAATGTTTTGTGGTATAATTGAATGACATTAATTCTCTCCTGTGCTTTGTTAATTTGTTCTTCCTCTTCAGTGCAGGAATCACAGCCATGGCCCCCACCCTCCAGGATTTGGCCGGCCCAGCACCTGTGCCCATGAAAATAAAGAGCTTGCCAAGGCAAGAGAAGTTCTTCCTCTTATAGAGGACTCTAGTAATTGTGACATTGTCAAAGCCACCCAGTAAGTCTTCTGAATGCTTTGCTTTATTCTTATTTTCTGATGAGTTACAAGAATCTGTGTGAGATTCATGGTGCTTCCCACACTTCAGATTGGTAGTTCATTAATTCCAGCATCAGAACACCTCCCAGGGCACTGTGTGCCTTAGCTGTTTATATGCCAGGCTCTCCTATTGGATGTGGCAACTTCTTAGCAAAAGCTTATATTCATTGTCTTTGAAGCCCTGGGACTTTTTGTACAATTTCTTCTGTTAGATACCTATTAAAGTATTTGTTGAATAAATAAATGATTTAGAATGACACTAAAACTAAACTCCAAATTTTAATTTTAGGTGTAGTACAAATATATAGATAGGATAGAAAAATAGCAGCTCACACATTTATGAATTTTTAAATAATTGTTTTTTGAGTACTTCTGTTCTTGCCATGCTAGGTACTCTGGAAGGAAAGTAGTACATAGAAATATGTTCTCTGACCACTTGAAATATACAGTGGGTTTGTTTTGCTTGCACTAAAAAATCAAAAAACATTTTTCGTTTCTCCTTAACATTGCCATATGTGAGTACTACATTCAGTCAGTTTTTCACAATATTTTCCTATCTTGTTGTCAGCAGCTATTTAACCTCTTGCTGTTAAGCATATTTTGAAATATTTTGTCTATCACACTAAATAGTAAGTTGAAATCTTTTTTAGTAATTAAGTGTAAGTTTGCTCATCAGATTTCCCACTAAATGTTTGTGCCTGTTTAATCAACCCGAAAGAACTAGCATTACCACACTAACTTGATAAGATTTCCATCAGAAGCATAGATGCTTGGTGATTCATTAGTCTATTTGACTTAAAAATTTATATTTGTTAAGTATATATTGACAATATTTGAGTACTCTAATTAACAATTTATATAAACTTTAAAGGCCCTGGAACCACTCCTGTGAGTGACTATTGTTTGATAACACTTTTGTTGTTAAAGGAAGACAGGAAATGTTCTTTGGTCAATGTTTGCTTTAAATTGGAATGGAAATACGTATATAGTTCTGTTACCAGTAAAAGTCTGTAAAGATAAATGTGATAAATTAGTCTGTATTCTCAAGGAATCTCAGTCAAAACACATCTCTTAAAATTCCCTTTAGATCTTGGTTTTCACAGGTGGTTATGGAGGCAAAAGAGAGCTGGGATCTGTACACATATTTTCTAAACCACTGAAATCCTAATTAATGTGTGCTCTTACGTTTCTCAGAAAAAGGGAGTGTTGCTTTTCTAGAAAGTTTTCAATTTGTCATACAAAAGATTTAAAATATAAATATATGTTGCATCATTAAAAATTTATTTTCATCAATATTTTTGTTTAGTATTGTCAAACAGGTGTCTCTGCCTTAAAAAACAAAAACACTGAGATCACACACACACACACTTTGATAAGTACAAGTTACTCTAACTTAACAGTGTGATGCAGGAGATAGTTCTGCCATTTGGTTTTATACCTTTGAGGGCCTTTTGAAACTTTCAGGTCTTTCTAGATAGAAATAAGTGACAAAGAAACTGTTAAAATATCTACTGGAACTTAGTTTCTGTTGAAAAGAAATGTTACCAATGAGTGATTTTTTTTTTTAATTATTAAAGTATTAAAAAACAGTTTTTTGCTCTTAGCAGTCAGGTGGTTCGAGGCGACTCAGGTCAATCCTTTCCCGGTCCCATCCTCCATCACCTACTCTAGACTTTTGCTGTTTCCCATCTGTCTGTCGGTCTGTCTGTCTGTTTGTCACAGTGGTCTGCTCTTGCTTTTTAGTCTCACCCTGCTGTAAGCAGCTTCTATTCTGCCATGAATACAATGCCTCCTAAAACTCAGCATTTTTCACTTTTAGACCCTTGCTTGGTTTCCCATCAAGCTATACCTGAGATTTTAAACTTCATAGCACAGCAAGGTCTAGAAAGGTTTTCAGTGTATTTATCTCCCTTTTACGTCTTCACATCTAGCCCTTCCCTCTCTAATGCTCTATGTTTCAGCTTATTAAACTCTATTTCCCTCACATCCTTGCAGTATTTCACATCTCTGATTTTTCTAATGCTGTTCTGCCTTCACCAAACAGCCTTCCCTTCTTTAGTCAGCCTGGAAAACATAGCTTATCTGTCATGTTTCATCTCCTCCAGGAACGGTCCCCTGTTGCTTCCTGTATCATGCTAGACCTGTATCATGCCTGTGTTTGGCTTTTAGTTTATTCCATTCCCTGTGTGCTTTAGGTTCTTCCTACACTGTGCGGTACTGTATGGGCGTGGCTTGACTCAGGATAATGTTGTCAGGAACTGGCTCCACATGTTTTGGGCACATAAGCAAAAATTAAGTGAAACTTATTGAAGGTTGACAAATGTGGTAAAGTTTAAGCAAATCAAGTTCAGTTCCAAATGAGCTGATCAAGTCAGTAAATCAATAAAGTTTGCTGATCTTATTTGGCTTTACATTACGTCTCCTTTGTACATGTCTTTGTTCATTATAGTCAATCCTATGCGTTTACGGGTTCTACATCTCAGGTTTAACCAACCACAGTTCCAACCAAGCTTGGATTATAAATATTCTGGGGAAGAAAACCATGACTATATTGAATATGTGTAGACATTTATTTTCTTGCCATTATTCCTTAAATAATATTGTATAACAACTGTTTACTTAGCATTTACAGTATATTAGGCATTATGTGTTATTCAGAGAGGGTATGCATAGTTTTATAAATACTGCATTTTATATAAAAGACCTAAAAATCCATGGATTTTGGTATCCACAAGAGGTCTAGGTACCAAACTTCTGTGGATATTAAGAGACTATATTGTATTTTATATTTTCAAAACAGATAGTTTGGATAAAGGAAATACACAATAAAGGGAAAAGTCGTATTTTAAATGATTTTACTGGTTTTAATTATGCCTTTCTTTTTCTTATTTGAGATACGGGATTTTCGAACGATGTAAAGAGTTGGTAGATGCAGGATATGATGTAAGACAACCAGACAAAGAAAATGTGTCACTTCTTCATTGGGCTGCTATTAACAACAGGCTGGATCTTGTAAAGTAAGATGGGATATTTGTGAGTTAATTGTATATTTAGAATTCTGGGCCTCTCCTTCAAGTACCAGTATTGAAGCATCTGAAATCTTCTTTTTCAATGAATTCCTGAAATCTTCTGCCCACACATCAGTTATAGAGTTGGAGAAAACCTTAGAGATCATCCAATCCAGGATTCTTACTGGTCCAGAAAGAAAAATTAGAAGAAACCAAAGGGCCACATCATAAAGATAAAGGTTAGGACATGAATGTGAATATATTTTGAAAAGGAAAAGCAAAGCATAAAACACTTTATCAGGTCATCAGATTCATCTAGTTTTAAAAGAGACATCGAGATATTTTACACTGTAATGTCAGGAGGGGTAGATATGTAGGGAGTTAAAACTTGTTTAAAGCAGTAAGTTTTAATACAATTTTAGGTGGGCAGGTATCAGATTTTATAAAATATTTCCCCTTCATAAAACACTACTACCTGCTAATTATTTTGTTTACACTTTAACATATAAAATATGCATGTGTATGTAAGTATATATATTTTATATTATAGAATTATGTATTTAAAATCCTTGAAGCTTAAAAAAATGAAAGTTGACTAGGTTTTAGAATATTCTAATACACATTATACTCACAGGCAAACTCCAGGTGCACTGTGTGGGTTATATGATGCATGAAGCCTAACTGTGAAATAATCAGACTGACGTCTCTAAACTGCAAAAAAAATCACTTTAGGTCCACCTTATGTGGTGCATCATAGCTGTGCTCCCAACATTTAAAATTTAAAACTCTTACGAAAAGATTTTAAGTTAATTTTTTTTATCACTTCTGGAATATTTCCACTTGGTAATTATAATTTGAACTGTTTTAGGTGGCATAATTTCACAAATTCTACTTCTGAGTTAAGTAGAATGTCTGACCCTGAATCCTTTGAAGGTAAACTATTTTAAGAGTGTTGTGGTAGTCAGAGTTGGCAGAGAGTAGTTATTATGTGTTTGGTATGAGAGTTACAATGGACTGCTAATTACAGCAGGAGTAATTACTTACAAGCTAAGAATGTTTCACCAGGGATTTGTCTGATACTGCTGTATAAATTTTGGAGACCTTTATAGATCTAGAGCCTTTATGGCGATGATTGTTATGTTTCCCAACCCATCTGTTACTAAGCAAAAAAACAGTATTTTTTAATCTCAATTTGAATTTTAAGTTTCAAATTTCATCTTCATTTGTGTCTATTTTAACAGGTTTTATATTTCAAAAGGTGCTGTTGTAGATCAGTTGGGTGGAGATTTAAATTCAACTCCTCTTCACTGGGCCATCCGGTAAGGTTTCTTTAAGTGCTGAAATTAAATAACCCCATGTGGTTGGAGACCACCATATTGTAAACCACAGTTACAGGCAATTTTTGTGGGTTTTTTTTTCCCCATTTATTTAAAAAGAAATTAGTTTTAAAGAGTTTCCAGAAAGGATATTTTTGGTGTTTAATTCAGGGCTTAATTATGAGAATCAATTTTACATGTGAGTATTACACTTTTTTTATAAATAGGATAAGCAGCTTTTATAATTGGACACAATAAATAGGTTATTGAGTGAACTATAAGTGTTTAGTCTTATGATGGATGCCAATTTGGTAACTTACACACTGATCCCATCATTCTTGACAATGTGTCTTTTACTGTAATAAGTTTTTTTCTTTTAATTTAAACATTCACTGTATCTTTCACTCATCTCCTATAGTTGTAATTGTATTTTATGGGGTTTTTTTTTCCTTTCTTTTTATCGGTACCGGGGATCGAACTCACGACTGCTTGCTTGCAAGGCTTGCTTGCAAGGCTTGCGCTTATGCTGCTGAGCTAAATCTCCAGCCCCTGTAATTATATTTTAAAGAGAGCAATTTCCACTGAAAAGTTTTAAATCTAAAGCATATCTCCATTTTTGAAGAGCTGTCAACTTTTGAAAGCTAACACAGAAATTTTGAATAGGCCAACTTCTTAAAGCATTCATATTACCTACTCAGTATCCTCTTTTCTCTTATGTAGTGTCCTTCTGAAGCTAAAGGTGTGGCCACGGATATTTAACAACTTATATTATTTTAATTCTGCTCTTTGAGGATGCGGTTGACATGAACCTGAAACAGAAGTGTATAAATATAATAGGCCTTGGGGAGACAAAGAGTTGAATCTTTTCTCCATAGACAAGAGTTTTGAGGAACCCAGGGATAACTTATCCCATTTAAGCTATGGAAGTGTAGAGCTGTATATGAAAATGAACAGTATTCTAGTAAAACAATATGTATTTCTGAGGATTATCCCAGTATACCATAGTCTTGAGTATTATACATATGTGTATCTGGCTAATGATTATTTTTGTTTTGAAAATAGCAACAGTGAAGACTAAGATGTTGTAAAACTTTCATTGCTAGCCTTAGTCATATGTAATCACTATTCACACACGGTAGCAACCTAAGGTTTCAGCTAGACTGGGAGGTTATCAGGTTTATCACTCCCCTTCCAGAAGGACCATCCCATAGCTGTAAGTTTGGAACGCCTTAATGCAAGACATATATCTTCAGTGTTTTAAAACTGTCACTGTTGAGAAATGTTCCTTGTATCTAACTAGAACTCCTCAGGTTATAGGGATAGCTGCTTTTCCCCAGAATTTTGTGTGTTTTACTCTATACATTCTGTTCGTTCAGACTACAGCATGATTTTGATCTTGTGTTTACAGACAGGGGCATTTACCTATGGTCATATTGTTACTCCAGCATGGTGCCGACCCCACTCTCATCGATGGAGAGGGATTCAGCAGCATTCACCTGGCAGTGTTATTTCAGCGCATGCCTATTATAGCATATCTCATCTCAAAGGGACAGGTATGCGTTGAAATGTTTCTTATGCTCCGTATCAGCTGAAGAGACTTGGAAGATTACTAGCTGTGTTCTGCTCTCCTTTTTAAAATGGAATTTAATGGATACTCAGGTAGTCAAACATTAGCCTCATTGAGTCTGGCTATTTAATACACATTTTCAGCTTCACTGGAGGAGAAGGGACAGGACAGTTAGCTCAGCAACATGTAACAGATGTTTCTGAAACTCATATGCCTGTAATAGTTTTCCTTCCTTATGAGCCTAGTAATTTTCAGGTTTTGTTTAATTTTTCTAAAAGCATGACTTTTAAAGCCTATATTTTTTTCTCTCGTTGAAAATAGAAATGGTTAGTGATCATTAAATTAACCATTTGTTTGCTTTTGGTAATTGAGCTCGCAGGGTGAGTCAGGTTGAATGCATGCTTACTGTTCTCCATAAGCATGGCTCCACGGAGCCTGACTTCACTTGAGAGAGGCTGTAGGTTATTGGCAGTGGAAGTTCCACTATCATCCGTCCCACCTGGATGTGCTTTCTGGTGACAGAGCAATTCGTGTTAGCAGTTTTACACGAAACAGGCGTGGAATGTGCTTGTCCAAATGCTATTAGAAAGACTGCACTCCCTTTAAATAAGCACTTCCTCTCAGATTTAGCTGACTGGAGTAGAATAATTACAGCCTCCTGGGCTTAATTTCAGAAAGATGTATGAGGAGGAGTCCTTTCTGCTTCTTCTTTTCGCAAATTCTCTTCCACAAAGACCCCTACGAATCTTCAGTAATTATAACTGTATTTTTTTTTTTTTTTTGCTTTGTTGGAACCATTGATGCCCGAACCTAGATTGCTTTGGTTTTTTTTTGTTTTGTTTTGTTTTGTTTTTTTGTTTTTTGTCTTTTTTCCTTTTTACCGGTACCAGGGATCGAACTCATGACTGCCTGCTTGCAAGGCAGGCACTTACGCCACTGAGCTAAATCCCCAGCCCCACCTAGATTACTTTGTAAAAGGAGCATATCCTTAAGAAGATGAGATTTCCCTTTCTGTTTTATTCCAGAAAATTGAAAGGAATTTGTCATGTTGTATTATTTGAAACTTCATATACTAAGTCCAAAAATGAAGCAACCTTAGAAGATAGGGAATTCATTACTGCAAGTGTTTAGAGATTGGATGACTTAGCATAAAAAATAATAGCATGAATTAATGTATTAATTTGCATATAAGCTAGATAATTTTGAAGCTCTCTATATATAATGAATCTCTTATATATAATGGTAGCTGTTAATGGTTTCTTTTTACCTTAGGTGTCCTTCATTTAAATTATATAGTGCTTTTTATCATATATCCAAGTTTTCCTTTAGAAATATTTTGTAGAAATCCTAATTTTTGCCCTATGAAAACAAAGCAGAACATATTTTTATTTAGATAATATTTAAACCCTTCTGTATAAATAATGGTACAATTGTGTTATTAAGAAAGAGACTGTTAATTTTGTTGTGTTGCTTCTTTTTGAATAGAGTGTGAATATGACAGATGTAAATGGGCAGACTCCTCTCATGTTATCTGCTAACAAAGTAATAGGGTGAGTTTCATTGAATTGCCTTAATCCAATTCTTGTTTCCTAATAGTAATAAAAAAAGTTTCTTTACACAGCAGGGACAGATGACTTAGCATACACTTGTTAACATGACTGATATTTGTCTTTTTACATTTTTAAAAAGATGGCTACACACTTAAATGTCCTCTTCATTTGAAATCTAGATGGTAAATGTTTACCAAAAACAGTAGTTCAGATTTTTGGACATTGTTGACTGCGCTAAAGATATTAATTTTAACTGATCTACGAAAAGTTCACATGTTCCTATCAGATGTGGCTTCAAGTTTTTCTGTATAATGTATAAGCATAGGTACTTAATGTCAGTTACGTAGTCCAGTGTCTGATATTCATCTATGTAAATGCAGGCTGCAGTTTTTGTTTTTGGGTTATTTTTACTTTTGTATTGAGTTGCTGGTCCTTCTGTTCAGTAGAACTTCTGGGAACAGAGTTCATTCTTATGCTATTTCCTTTTTTCATAGAGGGGTGGAACTAAGGGTAGAGTTTTACTAGAAAACATTTGTCTTTGGTGTTCTGAGTCAGGCATATTCTCTAAAGTTCTTGACAGAGTAATAAATAGAATTTTGTTTTTATCAAAAGAATCTTCTAGTCATGAAAAAGGAACATTACTGATGGGAAAGTTAATGTACTTTACTAATTCTGTTCTCTGCGCCATAGCTTTCTAACATATAGAGATATTTTAGAATGCTACCAGTTCTTTCTTGCACAAAATTATTAAAAATAAAACTTTTGACTATGTGTATAAAATGCATATGTATCATAAATGGATTTTGTGTTTAAATTTGAATCCTACCCCCCGAATAACTCATTATGTATGTGCAGATATTCCAAAAAAAGTCTAAAATCAGAAACATTTCTGGTCCCAAGTATTTTGGATAAAGGGTACTCAACTTGTATTTGTATCTGCTTTATTTAATAACCTATCGAAGGGAAAATGTAAAGTTAACTTTTGGATTATCAACTGGAATATAACATACGTTTAATTGTTAATTGCATAAATAAAATGATATTTAATGTAATCCAAAGTTAAACTCACAATTTAAAACAAAATGTTAACCAAGAGAAATGACACAAAGGTTTTTTCTTAGTCTTCTGTATTAATGTTTGAATTACGTTTATAGCAGACGATCATTTAATAGATTTTTTTCTTCTTCTTAACCTCTCCTATTAGTCCCTAGAGTAGAATTCTTCACAGAGAAATTCCTCAGTTATTTGGAATATTTACCCATTGGTTGACTGATTCATTTGTCTAGAAGATACATTATTTGTATTTACTCTGCAAATCTTCATCCCTGTTAATGCCTCTTGGGTTTTTTTTTTGTTTGTTTGTTTGTTTTGTTTTGTTTTTTTGTTTTTGTTTTTGTTTTTGAGACAGGCCAGAGCCAACTGGATTTCTTTTAAAGTTTAACCCTTCTCTCAATGTTGTTGATAAAATACACCAAAATACTCCACTCCACTGGGCGATTGCATCAAGAAATGTTAATGCAGTTGATAAACTTTTGGAAGCTGGTTCTAGCTTGGATATCCGAAATGCTAAGGTAAGGTCAGGTATTTGTCTCCTTTACATTTTCATTTAGAAGGTTGATAATTTAACATGTAGTTGAGCCTTGTAGAGTGGGAGGTGTAGCTTAGTGGTAGAGCACTTGCCCCATGTGTGAAGCACTGTAAAAAAAAAAAAAAGGAACGCGAATGTATTTGTTTTGGTTTAACAAGTTAAGTATCAACAATAAACTCTAGCTACCTTTAGAACACATGAGTTGAGTCTGTGATTCTGATTCTGTGATTCTAAGAGTAATAATACAGGGCAAGTATAACTGAACTTTTTTTTTTTTAAGGGAGAAACTCCTCTTGATATGGCTCTGCACAGCAAGGACCAGCTCATTACTCACCTGCTAAAAGCGGAAGCCAAGTTGAGAGCCAACCAAAAGTTCAGACTTTGGAGGTGGCTACAGAAATGTGAGGTATCTTCATATTGGGGCTATTCTATGAAATATGGAATTTGTCTTGATTTTTAGAGGAAACCAGTTGGCTTTGTGCTATATTATATCTGCTGATTATATTTTTCTTATGTCCTTCACAACCCAAATTTGGAAATCTAGCATTCACTGTATATTTAGCACTTTGTCACCTAGATGATGGCTATAAAACTGTTAGTTTGTGAATATTATAATGTACTTCCACATTTATTTAATGAAGGAATTGAAATACAAGTGATCTTGATTCTTAGAGAAGCAAAATGAAAAACACGTTATTGCAAGGTGTTTTATAGAAGCCCTTCTTGAAGAAATCTTTATTAGTTTTTTTTCTCAAAAGGAAAATAGTAACATTCGATCTGTTTTCTTAGACTTATAGTTAGATTTTTTTAAATAATGATGTTGAAACTTGAGGCTTATTATGTTGCTTCATAAAATAAAACATCTGGAAATTTGAGAAATACAATCCAGGTTTTAATTAGTTTTGAATTTAGCATTCCTTTGAAGAATGTTCTAAACTTTAAAGTGAACTGAGTAATAGAAAAAATTAAGTTACAGTCGTGATGGTAATTCAAATTGTCTTGGATTGACAGTTTTGATTGTTTTTGAATATAATATCTTATCTAATAAAAGTAATTATACTTTCAGAGTGATTCTAACGAACAGGTAGTAGTTTTCTAAGTAGAGCATCACTGAATGCTAGGCATATTTTACATTTAGGTATGTGAAAGGGGAGAGAAAGAAGGCCACTCCTAGTCTCCTTTGCCACCTTCTCTACTTGTTAACCTTCTTCTTATTGGTAAAATGTCCCAGGATTTGTCATTTTAACTTCTATTCATTCCCTAAATAGCGTCTATAAATTGAAATTCCAAATTTATCTCTGTAATGCAGACTTTTCCCGGCTCATAAATGTGCTTACCAGCTAGACCCAGTAGGTGTCTCTCACCTGATGAATCAGAAACTGAACTCACCTCCTGATTTCGTTCCACCCTGCCTAAGCCTTCCTCTTCTCAGCTTTCCAATCTCCTCTGACTTTTCTCTGTCTTACCACACACCAAGTTCACCGGACAGATGCATAGCCTAGTTCTGCCCTTGGTTTATATCTTCCCCTTTCACCATTCCAGCCGTGCTGTGTCAGCCCAGTGGATGCATCTTTGAAAAAATAAGTTGGCTCTTATCATTCATCTTCTCAGATTCCTATGATGTCTCCCCATTTTTCCACAGTAAAAGCAAAGTCCTTATAATGCCCTTCAAGGCTCTGTGTGGTACAGCTTTTTATATACTTTGCCATCACATTCATCTTCCCAGTTAGAATTTAAGCTCAGTGGCAGAAAAAGCTGAAATTCCTCAGTGTGTCTCAAGCATCCAACACAATGTCCTCCATCAAATATTGTTGAATGAGTAAATAGTGTGACTCATTGAGAAGAGTGATATCTGGGATTAGGATTTTGAGATCCTTTTTAAATTATTTCAGTTCTGAGATTATGTTTGTAGTCTTGAGTTCACTTTTTTTGTAAAAAGCTAAGCTTATTTTGTATCACTAAACAAATAAGAATTGATGTCACTTGAAATTCTTCCATTCCTGCATGTGCCTTAGAGAAACAAAAATGCAAGGATTCAGGGCAAAATGCTTATTTTTCCTCTTTGCTGTTGTAAAAGTTCTGCTTGCTTTCAAGGCCTCTTTTCTTATGGTTAAGAGACTACACTGCACAAGTGTGGAGCGTGGCTTCCATTCAGACATCCTGTTGGTTCAGAGAACTTTCATTCTTTTAATTTCATCAAAAGAAGCATGATTCAGGGGCTGGAGGTTTAGCTCAGCGGCATAAGCGCTTGCCTTGCAAGCAGGCAGTCGTGAGTTCAATCCCTGGTACCCATAAAAAGGAAAAAGACAAAAAAAAAAAAAAAAAAAGAAGCATGACTCGTTAGAGTCCTGAGCATCTGACTTCCATGGGATATTTGACACCCATGCTTGGGTACTCCTTGCTTGAAACTTTCCCAACCTTGAAGTCTTTCCCTAGGTGCTTACCCTGCCTTTCTTTCTGTTACCTGTGGAGATCCAGCTTTGTTCCTAACCTTGAAAATTTGTGTTGGCCAAGATTCTGCCTTTTCTACTGCACATATCTGTGGGATGTTATTCACTTGTGATTTCACCACCAGTATTCTTTGTCTTTGCATATGGTAGACTTGCTTTCTTAACTGCCTCCTGAGTATCTCCTGGATGTCCTAAGGAATTTAAAGCTTTGTGTACCCCAAACCAAGTTCATATGTTTTTGCAGAATTTATCCTTCTAACCTTCTTTACTGGGGCTGACACCATCTAGTACCCAGGCTGGAACTCTTACATTCCCTGCATTTGGTCTTAAGTGTATAGATTTTCATGTAGTCCCTTCTGCTGGCTTTATGCTTTCTGATATAGAATGTCTTTTGAAAGAAATTATTTTTTAAAATTTTAGTTTTTATCAACTCTACAAAGGACCACAATTTCTTAGAAGGAAGAAAAGCAAAATGCATTATGTTTAAACAACATTTTATGAAATGTACAGTTTTTAAAAATTGTTTTTAGGATGTGTAAATTGCTCCAATTTCAACTTTATCAATCTTCAGTTTTGAAGAAAAAATTATGCTGTTGTATTGATTATTATTATATACTAAAGAAGTAGTTCTTGAGCTCAACTAATTATCATTACATATCTAGGTGAAAATCCATAAAGTTCTAAAGTTCCGAATCTTTTAATAGTTCTTCCTGCTGCTGGTACTGACTGTGATTACCATGTGGGCTGTTGGATACATACTGGACTTCAATTCAGATTCTTGGCTTTTAAAAGGATGTCTTCTAGTAACACTGTTTTTTCTGACATCTTTGTTTCCAAGGTGTGTATATTAACTTTGCAAGGTGGGTTATTGCACTTCTAATGTAATCGCTTATTTCTGTTGTTGATTAGCTGGAATCACAGATTGTTACTGAGCTATAAATATTACTTACCCATGTAACTGTATCCACAGGGTGGCGAGAAAAGGGCTTTGGTAGCATCTTTTTAAATTGAAATCAAATTGCACAATCCAGTAATATTCTTGAATTACAACTGGTAGAAAATCCATATCCCAGGCTACTGAATTGTTAGTTTTGTTCAATGAGAAGATTTTTGTAAGCATTTTGCATCTTGATGTATTTTGCCCATTTTTTCCTCAGAAATTCTTTGTTTCTCTTTTTTTTTTATGATCTAAATTCATTTTGAGCCAGTTATTTTTGCTCTTAATGATTTTTCTCCAGTACTAGAGGTGGAACCAGGGACTTCTTGCCAACCATATCTCTGGCCCTTTTTAATTTCTTAATTTTGAGACAGGGCTTGCGGTGTTGCCCAAGCTGGGCTTGAATTTGTGGTCCTTCTGCCCCATTCTTCAGACTACTGAGATTACAAGTGTTCACCACTATGTCTTGCTGCATTCAGTGAGTTTTAATTAAAATGACCTAATTTAAATAGGAGAAGCTATGAAATAGTAAAAATGGTGTGTCCCTATTTTTAGAAAAATGCTCACCATGATTATATATAGTCAGTAGTTAGGAGCCAGATTGCCTGGATTTTAACACATGGCAGTCTGATCTTGAGCAAGCTGCTTTCTTTCTCTGCCTCAATTTCTTCATCTGTAATACAAGGACAGTTAATTGTGATACTTCCCACCTTATGCTTAATATAAATGCTTAGGGCAGTGGCTGACACATAGTAACCATATCATACCCCAAGCCCTCTTCTCCTCCTCCTCCTCCTCCTCCTCCTCCTCCTCTTCCTCTCTTGAATGAAGTTGTCATCCTTGATTCTAACCCTGTCCTCGCTTCCCACTCCTTACCCATTCCAAGTGCTTCCGCTGCTGCCTCAGTTGGTCCACTTCTCTCCGTCTCCTCCGCAGGCACCCCCACCTAGCCTCCAAACTGCTCTCCGGACTTTATACCCCCAGAAATCAAAGCAGATGAGCGTCTGTCCTTTCCCTGCCTGACCCCTCAGTAGCCTGCCCTTGCAGTCAGAATAAAATCCAGATCCTTGCCTGCAAGGAGTTTTTGTTACTCATCTCCTCCCTACTTGCTGACTTCATCCCTTCTCGCTCCTGCCACACTGCCCTCACCGTCCTTCTTTCTGGAAAAACACCGCAAGCTCACACCTACCTGGCACCTTGTCTCCTAAGTGTCCTGACTGTGACTTTGCATGGCTGGAGATACTCCTCAGGCCTCAGCTCAAATCTCACCCCCCTCGCAGGGGTGTCCCTGGTTGACTGTGCTGCATTGCCTGCTTTACTATCTTTATATCACTTACTTTCCTGCAGTGTGAGGCCAGAAATGCTAAAGACTTCCTCTGCTGTGGGACACTTCCACTCACTGAGTGGAAAGAAAAAGCAGTATAATGATGGAGACCCATAGAAAGAATCTGAAGGAACTCAGAGTTGCTCCCTGTCAGCCTTTTCCAGAAAAATATGTACACTGTTGTCATAAGGGAAACAAAGATTATAGAAATCTGATTATTTGGCCACCTAAAACCAAGACACTTGGACGAAACCAAATTCATATTTAAGTGTAAAGTAGGCGCTCATGTTTCTAAAAATAGCAATATATCTCAAATTGTCCACACTAAGAAAACTTGTAAATTAAAAATATTCATTTTGAGCCAAGCATGCATACCCATAATCCCAGCATTTAGGAGCTTGAGGCGGTAGGATTGCAGGTCCAGAGTCAGCCTGGTCTCCATAGCAAGGTTGAGATCAGCTTGGAGCATGGTGAGCCCTTCCCGTCTCAAAACAACAACATAAATCAGTCCCATTAATTGAATTAACTTGTTGGTTTCTAGATAAGTTTTAAGCCAAATCACCAGGAATTGCTTTTTTCTCAGTGAGAAAGCAAAGGTTGGCAATACCTGCTCAACTAGGACATGAATCCTTGAGATTTTGTTTGGTTATTTTAGTTCAAACCCAAGCTATTAAAAAAATGATGTTTATATGAAAAGTTTGTATTTTGTTTTTGAACAGTGAGCTACCTTTGGTATGTTTGACATGGGCATGATTCAAATGGGAATCAAATGCATTTCTCATTTTATCCAGTCCACCTGATTCCCCTCACGGTCTTCTGTGGAGTCCCAGCTTTAGGGAGCAAACGTAGGGCAGTTGCTTATTGGTCTTACTGATGTAGTCTGCTGTATACACGATGCCTGCCAGAAGCCGTCAGGTAGGCACTAGGGAAGATTCCAGGTCAGGCATTCACAGCACTACATCACACTGCTGGCTGGGGTTTTTACCACAGACCGCCAGGCTGTTCCCTGGAGTTTGTCCATCCCTTTGTCCTGTTCTGATGGCACTCGAGGACCTGAGGCTAGACTAGTTCTTCTCAAATGCGATTTTGTACTTACTGTGGTGGTGGTCTGCTAGCTGTTTACAAGCCCTTCATATTCACAACTAAGCATTGTGTTTCTGGTATAAATTTTAAGATACGTATAAGTAAACTATTCATGGTGATTGTATTGCATATTTGGTGTGAAAGGTTTTTTTAATTACAGTTTAAATTATTTTGAGTTGCTTATGGTCCATATTAGGTCATTAGTGTTGTGAAAACTAGTTTCCTTCTGTGCTTTTTCTTCTAGTGACTGATTCTTGGGTTTATTGCAGGATAAAAGTGCTTAAGGTTATATGCATCTGTATGTCTCATAAACATACAACTCGTCTCTGGAAAAAGCTCATATAAATGTGAAGATGAATCACCAAGTATTTAATTTTTTGTGATTCAGAGTATTTTAAAATATAGTATGTAGAAAAGAATTACAGAGTGGTCTGTCTCAATAGAAATACAGAAGAGTCATTGAAAAAGTATATTAACTTATTGTGAATGAAATAACAGAAGTTCCTTGAGTGCCATTGTATTTAAGTTTCTTTTGTGAAAAATGTGGTGATAGTGACACACATACTGGGCCCCCAGGAAGCGAAAGCTGCTGCTGTTACCCTTAGTATTATTACTACTGTCATTATTTAGGGGAACTTGGAACTGAAACTAGCATGAGTCGTATTAATACCTTACCTCACTAATAACTTGTGCTTATCCTTTTTCTTTTTAGGTTCTTGGTCGGATATAAGAACCTCATATACCTACCCACAGTCTTCCTACTAAGTTCCATATTTTGGATATTTATGACTTGGTTCATACTATTTTTTCCTGATATCCTTTAAACTTGAGCTTGGGCACATATTACCTTTGAAAGATACCTTTTTAAAAATGCCATTTGGTGTTTAGATGGTAGAAAAGATAAAAGAAATGCAGCTTACATTTGCATTCATTTAGTGATGTTGGTTGAATGTTTCATGTTGAAAATCTGTTTGATGTTGGAAGTAATGTCAGCATACCATGGAAACAGGTATTTTCTACTAATAGGAGGAGAACAGTAAAATGAATCATTATTTTACTTGGGCCCATAGTAATATGTTGGATTGCTTCAAAATGTCTTCATATGGTTGTTTTAACAAGGTCAGCAGTTAGAGGTGCTTGATAGATCCTTTGGTTACCAGGGTGTTCCTGGCAGGAGGACTGGTGAGGGAAATGCTTCCTCATAACTGCTGCAGTACTAGCTGTTACCCAAAGCAGTGATTCCCAGTCCCAGCAAGAGTAAATCTGCTTTGCCACTCAAGATACATGCTTCAGAAATGAGTACTCCCACTGGTTTCTTTTCCTTATTTTATCCTATCTCCTTTTAAAAATTCTTTTGTGACCTAATGAGTGATAGCCAATGGTTTAAAACAAAAACACAGAACCCCTCCTATTAAAGGACTATGTTTATCACTTGAGGATCAGGGCCCAAGTCTTAAAACCCAAGGCTGTATGTTCTTAAGGTTGCCAAGCCCAGGACCCGGCAGTGGAGAAGGTGGTTACTTCCTAGATTACTAATTTTTAATTCCAGTCTCCCTACCTTGACCAGATTCCCTTCTTGTCGTCCAGGGACCCTCCCTTGGAAGTCATTGTTACCTTGCTTTGCTTGCAGGATATGGAAAGGAGTGTAGTAGGTAGAAAAACCCCTTTTAGCATATACCTTTAACACCTGTGTTATTTTTTTTCTGGTGATCACATTTCCAAAAAGAAAGTACAGTATCAATTGAGATGAATAAGCTCCAACAATATTTTACCATAGGAATAAATATAAAGTGAGATGGGCATGAGTTTTTAGAAGGCATAATACCTCTTACAGCCATTATATCATGCTTTCGCTATAATGTTGCTTTATCTGTAATGTTTTTCAGAATCTTTTGATCTAAATAAATAGTGCAGCATACCAGGAAGGTCAACAGGGTTTTTTTCAAAAGATTTTATTACCTCTAACTTTTGTTTCACAATTACTGTTTAGTGGTTGCTTTGAAAACACTGGACTTCTCGACCCCCAGTAAAGGCTTGGCTGGTGTTAGACATAAAATTAATGTGTAAGGAACCACGAGTGCATCTAGTCACAGCAGAGTTTATACCAACAGCACTGCAGAAACACAAGCTGCTAAGTTCTAGGGTAATGGACACAGTACAGACAGGGTGACTGGTATCTTTTGTTTGCCACCTGTCTGAGTCACCTTCTCAGTACTTCCTTCACACACAATGTCACCATCCACATGTTTAGTGCACAGTTGGCTGGTTCCAAGGCAAGATGGCACAGGGCAAAGGTGTGGGCAGAGGAAATCCTCATGGTGACCAGGAAGCGAAGAGCAAAGGGAAGGACCAAGCAGAGGGACACACTCTTCCCAATGACCCCCTCCCGCCAGACCCCACTTCTTAATGTTACATTTAGCTGTAGGACCCCTGTGATTTTGTCACCTTCCAGCAACCCCGCCTGTGAGTGCTTTGGGGGACCATCTGGCTATAAACTGGAGCACCAGCCCATGCATCAGTGGACTGAACAGTTTTTTAAATTGTGTTTTGGATTAATTTCTTAAGTTTAAGCAACTTAAATTATTACAGATTTTGCACAAGAATTGAGATTGTCTTCATATTGATTTGGTTCTGTTTCGCAGAATTAAAAATCAACAAAAATATAACTCCACTGTGGTCTAAAAACTTTAGTTGCAAAAGTTAATGTTCAGTGGAGTGTGACTGGAAACCCACGCAGGCTTTGGGAAAGTGCTGGACAGAACCTTATGATGTTGGAATGGGCAGTCTTGCTTTGGCAACCTAAGGCCGCTGGACATAGGCGACTGTGTGACATGTGAGCCAGTAGGTGGCGTCCTTTGCCAGCAGATTACAGTTTTTCCAGGCAACCGGTAAAAGCTGTTGGAACTGATGCAGGGGAACCATGTGCTGCCTGGCCTAAGTTTTTGGCCTAGGCTTTCCCTGGATTGCCGAGGCAGGATGGAATGGGGGCTTGAAGTCCCAGCGCGAGTGCCCACAGCCTCTGATCTATCTTGAGAAGAGTCCGAGTCTCCAGGGAAAGCACATAGGCTTTGGAACAACTAAATAACTGCATTTTGACTTTTTTTTTTTTTTTTACTGTTTATGTAACATTGAACAAGTTACTTCATTCCCTTAAGTGTGTTTTTCCATAAACTAGAGCTCACGGAGTGACTGCAAGCATTAAAGGACTGAAGACATTCCCCATTACATAATTGCCAGTGTGGAATTAGTATTGAACATTTTACTAGTTACTGCTGTGAATGAAATTTGCAGAAGGCTACAAGTTGAAACTAATTCTGAGAACAACTCTAGGTTGGCCCCTCAGATTAATTTCTTTTGGTGCCTTTTATATGTTCAACAAGTAGTGTATTTGGCTTTGATGAGGGGGATCAAATGAGAGAGAGCAGAACCTGACTGATGCATTTGGCACTATGAATAAAACTCAGAAAAGGCGAATCCCTGAACGTTGTGTTATGGTTCAAGATACAAGCAACTGCCCTAGTATAAGAGGGATAAACATGTGAAGTCCTGCACTTGGTTTCAGAGGATCCACTGTACGAGTGTGTGTCACAGGGAGGCACCGTATAGCTTTAGGTCAATTGTGAAAAGTACAAGCTCCCAGTGTGGCTAGTGAAAACATTAGATAGTTTTACAAGAGTCCAAGGTTCCAAGCAAAGGACCACAGTCTTAATGTCCTCTGCACCGGTCAGTGCACATAGTGTGTTCACTGTCCTGAATTCTGTTCTCGTAGAGGTAATGATGAATGGGAACATGCATGGAGGAACATGACCAGTACAGCATTGTCGGAGGAAAGGCACTGTTAGCCTGGAGAGCTGCTCACTGCCTTCCAGTCTCAAGTGTTTGGAAATCTGTCATGTGGAATGGGCACACAATAAAAATTTTATTGAACGAATACATCAAGCTTATGTAGGGTAAAACCAAAAGATTGTTGCAGTGTACATCTAAAGGATCCAGTGAAGGAAAACCATTGATTGGAGTTCTAGAAGAGCAACTTTCAGCTCTTCTAGAGCTATTGAGAGACATTTTCACTGCAAAAAAGTTAGCAGCTGTGAGACTGATCCATCTACAAATAACTATAGTCTAAGGTCTAAGTCCCATAAAATCATTCCCAGCTTCAAGAGATGGAAAGGATCCTTTCTAGAGAATCAGGTAGGATGTGAGGGGGAGGAAGAGGTTAATTCTTGAAGGTAGCTGGGACTTGGTTGAACTAGAAGTGTGACTTGAGGAGCATGAGGAAGTGGAGAGCATTTGTGTCAGTGAAGGAGCTAAGCAAGGGCCCGAAAACAAGGAGTATGTTTTTCTTTTATTGCAACAGAGTAAAGTTTACTTAAGTTGAAAGATGCTCAGTGGGCAGTGATCTACTGGGATTTGTTTTATAAACTGTTCTCTTGGAACCCCCAAATTCAGTGAGCTTGCTAGCCAGGATCACCATGTATTTTTGAGACTATGTCATGTACATTGATCAGGACTTTATGGAAAAAATGACATGTGATTGTTCAACAAATGATCTTACCTTGTGTATCCTTTAATAGTGTTCTTCCTATTCACTCTAAGTAAACTTTGTTTTGTAAAGTTCAGTTTCACCCATCTCTGGCCCCTATGTTTTTTTGTAAAGCTGAGCTCACATCAGATGAACTATGATAAACTAAGCCACCAGCATAGGATGTTCGTATCTGAACCAGCTGGGTGTGCACTCATCTCTGTGGGGTAGAGCAGTACTTCTCAAGCTTGTAGATGCAACCTCCTCCCTGCCCCCACCTTGTTAGAATCCATAGTCTCCTTGTAGGATCTGGGGTGAGGCCTCAAGTTCAGCTTTTCTAACAGGCTGTCCTCACAGGTGCTTGGGCCACACTTTGAATAGCAGGGGCTTAGGATCTGTTTCATAGCTTCCTTTTCCACTTTGCAGTTCGACACAAGATTGCTGGGCAACACCTTTTAAAGCACGTACAGTTACTGTGCCAATAATAATTTAAATTGGGCAAGGACTGCTGGTTTACTACTGGTTTTTTTTTTTTTTCAATTGCTCTCTCATTTGTCTTTACCTGAAGCAGAATTTTACTCTTTACACAAAGAATTCTTACCACTTTAAAAACATTTCAAAGCATTATAACATTTATTCTTAAAACACTTGACCTTAATTTATTTGTAATATTTGTCTTTCCTTCAAAGAAGGTGCTTTGTAATCATTTTGCAAAGGACAGTTTCTTAAAATAACAGCCTGAAACAATCACAACAATTATTGAACTTAACAGTAGCAGCTTTTGTCTACTCTTTAGTGAAATGTTTTTAATTGAAATCTGAATCAAGTAGTCTGTTTCCTTGAAGAATTTCGTTAAAATGATCAGAGAATGTTTTTCCGGATGCCCACAAAAGACTGACAGTTACACCATTAGGGGTACATTTATTTTGCTGGATGCTTTTCAGTGGTTGGGATGTTCTTCATAAATTGCAGCCACTCTTAATTAACATCTAATGCGAGTGCCAACTAATAGGAAAGCATTAGTTATTAGTCAACTCCAAGCAAATTTCCAAAGGATTAGAGCAAACGGTGGGGCCTCTTTTGTCAGGGGCTTCCTTAGGTTCATGTACATAGAGCAGTGATGACCCCGTAAGGCAGAGCGCTTGTGTCCTTCTTCATGGAAGTCTAACAGATTCCTTAACCCGAATGTCACATACTGCAGGCACCCCTGTCTATTTCGTTTTCCTTTTCTGCATAGTAGCCTTTCTCTACTTCTTCTACAAGACTTGGGCAACTGATCCCGGCTTCATTAAGGCATCTGAAGAAGAAAGGAAAGTGGTGAGTTTTTTGGGTAGTTTTGTTTTTGTTTTTGGTGTGTTTATAAATCAGAATATAAATTTCAAAAAGTCATAGCTATCTTGGCTTTTATCACGGCCACATCTCTAGTGCAGGCCATCACAAGTTAAGGTGATTGACTCAGCAAAACTGAGATTTCTGCTGCTATTTTATATATATATATATATATATATATATATATATATACAGTTTTAAACTTTTCTATAAAGTAATTAGTTTTAAATTTTTCTATAAAGTAATTATCCCACATGGACTTTCAGATTTGATGTATGGTTTCCTCTTGCCTTGTACGATATTGAGATAAGAGTTATTTAGCTATAATTCCCCCTTAGTACATTGTCCAACGGGCAGGGACCAACGGGAATCCTTCTCCTTACTGACTGAGGAAATACTCCTGTTCTTCCAATATGAAGTTGTCACATGATGTGGAATACTTTCCATTTGTTCAGAATGTTTAGAAACTAGAGAGAGTGTTGTCTTTTGTTACCTAAAGCCAGTGTTCCTGCAAAGCTTGGCACTTGGCCCTTGGAACTTGTAACCAAAGGTTTTGATGGATACTGATTTTTTTCCTGTTTCCCATGAGTGCATATATGCACATACTTATTTTTCCCTCATAGATTATAATTGGGAGATGTTTTCCACTCATGAGGAAAAGGTGATGAGGGAGGTGCTGGAGAAGGTAGTTTTTATGCAGTCTCCTTTATTGGCTATTGACTGAAAATGCAACTTTGGAAAGTCACATCATTTCAAGCACAGAATGACTTAGTGGCGAGTATTCCAAATTGCTGTTCTAGCTACTTAAGTTAGCAGCAAGAACTCTGAGTACATATATACGCATGCATAATCCATTCCCCAGTAAAACGCAATCATAAGGTCACACTTCATATCTTTCAGAATATCGTCACCCTTGCAGAAACTGGCTGTCTGGACTTCAGAACATTTTGTACATCATGTCTTGTGAGTATTTTCTGTGTAATTTTTTGTTTTTCATAGGAAAAGCATGTTCTTGATAACATCACTCATGTAAGCATTTGTCAAATAGTCATGGTCTATTTATGCACTTTTTTGTTTCAACCAATTCTAATTTCTTATTACTGTCAGAACAATTTCCTGCCTTGAATACATGGGAGAATGTTAACAATCTTATGAAGATGCCTCTGGTAAAATCTCCATGAATTCTCCACAGTGTGTTTTGTTTGCTTTTCTCTTGCTATGAATTGTACATTAGAGCTGACTTCAAATCAGAGGCTTGTAATGAATGACCTAGAAACCACTTAGTGAAACCTCCCATTTGGTAATTGAGGGATCAGAGCTTAGAGGGAGGAAGTAAATTTTCCCAGGTTATTGTCGGAGCCAGAAATGAACTGGGGCTTCATTTTCCTTAGCCCAGTGCTCCCTCTGCTTTGTGATTCTGCCTTAGTTCCCCTTAGCCAGGTGAGTAGGCTCTGAAATTCACATCCCTCTCGGTGGTGGTTTAATCAGAGAACACATCCAGAGTGAATTCTAATGATACATCTCAGAGCCTCCATGTGGAAGATGATCTGTTTAGTGTTGTGTGTGCTGGTGTCTTTATTATGCAGCATTGAAATCTTGCTTATGATTTATTGCTTTGAGACACAATGATTTGCTTAGCTCTGTCTTAATCATCTCCTTAGATAAGAAAGCCATTAAGGTCACTCCATTGCCATGTATGCAACACTTGTGTGGCTCGATATGACCAGCACTGCGTGTGGACTGGACGGTGCATAGGTGAGAAATTTAATTTTTCTGTCCCCACTCGGAGGTTCAGTATATGTTCAGTTATGTGTGGTTCGTGGAAAGCAGGGGGTATCCAGAAGCTGCATTGATTCTGTTCCTTGTTTGAGAATCATACATTTCGCGAAAGACTTGGAAAACTGTTAAAGTTAACAATGACAATTTTTGTCCTTTGTGTAGTATTTTGGACTTTATAAAACACTTTTAACTCGATCATCAGAGCCCACCTGTGAGATGGGTGCTGTTACCTCCTTGTTAGAGCTGCAAAGGTGTGAAAGGTAACATTTTTTGCCTAAGGTCACTGCAACAGTGTCCATCTTCCCCTCCCTATGTGTTCTCTCCATGCGTCCTGACCTGTCTGTGGCCTTTCCCACTTGCTGCCCTCAAGTTCAGGCAGGAGCTGGAAGCAGAGCTGCAAAGATCTGAGAATTCCTCCTAACCCATCACAGTAAAAGCCAGAGATGTGGTGGGAGGGACTTCAGAGAAACTGTGGCCCTGAGTCCCTCGAGGACAGGAAATGCTTCTGCAGTCCTCACTGACAGGACGCTGCCTTACGTAACTCAGGCAGGTCTCCCTGTGCATTCCGATGTGCTGTCTTCCTGGAGAAAGGCGATCAGGGGATTCCTGGAGTGCCAAGCTTTTTGAACCCCATCCCACCATGATGGTTAGATGGCATCGTGCGAGGCATTGAATGATGAGAAAACAACAGCAGTGAGCCCGTACATTTTTATCATACTACATTTTATTTTGTTTTGGTACCGGGGATCAAATTCATGAACTTGCGCTTACTGGGCAAGCCCTTGAGCCACTGAGCTAAATCTTTGGTCTTATCACATTGCATTTAACAGTGTCATCACGTGCATTATCCTGTTTGGTTGCTACAGGGCTATGAAGTTGAAGAGATATAAGTAAGAATGCGACTCAAAGAAATTAAACATCTTAACCTATAGTGACATAGCTGATAACCCATAATAAGCCAAATAATCTATAATAAACCTAAGTCTCCAGTTCCACGGGGTGCTGCTCCTTCTCTTGAGCTTTGCTGCTTCAAGGGAAGATGGAACCATGGTGTGATACCTGGGGAGCACGTGTCATTAGCAATCAAATGCTTCCATCTCCACCATCAAGAAGGCCCAAACGCAGCACATACAAAAAAGGCCCTGGTTGCCTGACTCTTTCTTCCCTTCCGCAGACCTTTCCCATGCCATCGGTTTCTCCCCTGTACTCTGCCCAGCTTCCTGCATTTGTATTTGTGTGTGTGTGTGTGTGTGTGTGTGTGTGTGTGTTGTGTGTTGCCGCTCCTTGAATTCATTCCCTGTGTTGGTTTAATCCAGTCTGTCCTTGACGTTCAGAGGATGAGCTCACATGTGTGTTCCGTCAGGGAAGAGAGAGACAGCGTGATTATCCATACTCCTGCCCGTCGCGCCCAGCGCAGTGTAGCCCAACCTGCATTTGCTTAGTTAACTGTTTTCCATTCTAACAAAATATCTTCTTTTAGTAAGTAGGGAATAAATATTAGTTAACATGGGTGATTGACCGCAATATAACAAATATCTGATATGGATTTGATATCATTGTAAAACCAAACAATAACCTTTTTTCTGTTTTACTGTGATGAATGCTTTTGACAAGAAAGTAGTTCATAAGCTCTTATTCAGAAGGACATTATAAGAAAAAGAAAGTATTAAATATGTTTTCTTTTGTTTTAGGATTTGGGAACCATCACTATTACATATTCTTCCTGTTTTTCCTGTCGGTAATATGCGGCTGGATTATGTGTGGATCTTTCACCTGTAAGTATGGATTTTTCTTGCAAGCTCGTGTACCCACTCCTAAGTCTAGTTTTCCTTGTAAGCCCTTCCATCCTGACCAGGCAGCTATAAACCATACCCCTAGTGAAAACAAGATTATTTTCTAAGATTCCCTCAACAATGAGAGGCTTCAAGAAATACTAGAAGCTGTTCTTAGTACTTCAGAAGAAAACCTTGATAAATTCCAGGAGTGGTCAAAAGTAGAAAGCCATTTAGGACAAGTATAGATTTGTCCTCCAGTGAAAAGCAGAAGCTAACTACTCAAGTAAAAACCAGAGGGGATAAGTAATTAGAACAAAAAAAGGAGAGGTCAAAGGTGGAGAGGCTGATGGATGGCAGTCACAGTAAATCAAGGCGCAAAGCTCTGCTAGCACATTCCGCTTGATTAGTATCAAGTTGAATCCCAGACCTAATGGGAAAACTGTAACAGTTGAGAGGTTGGAAATGATAACTCAGGAGAAAACATCAGATCACTTATTCGCTAGCCTTGAAAAAGGAAAATAACTTTCACTAGCAATTTAAAAGGTATCTAGGGGTGTTGGTAGGGAATGATTGCCCGCTGCACCGAGGTGATCCACTAGGACAGGGTTTAAGGTAAGAAGGATTGGGGTTAGCTCGTAAGAACTGCAGGACTACACCTCTCAGATCTTGGAATGTTACCTTTCTGGAAAAACTTATAGTGCCAGTAGTTTGTTTATTTCTTTGGACTTTAACTTTTTGTTAAAATCTCCACCTCTAATCTATTTCCATTAACCCTAAACTGAAGCCTGCAAAAAGATAATTACAACAGGTTTTTCCCTATATATTTTTTTGCCTCCAAGAAAACCAATCTCTAGCACTCCCAAGCACTCAGGCTGTTTCCCTGTCCCAACTCTGTGCCCCTGAATCCCTGCATCCCAGCACCCCAGCTTTCTTTAGTTTACATGTAATTCTTAGGAGAGAATTCATCCTGTGCTTGTCCCCAGCCTCCCCGCGCCCTTCCCTGGAAATAACCAGTGTTGCAAATTTTATTTTGTTCACGGTGTCCTGCATAGGTTTTAGTGTCTCTATGAAATGGGTTATTTTTGCCCCGACATAAACATGGCAAGGGCTTTTCCCCTTGTCAGAAGGGTCCCACCTGACACGTTGGGTATCTGAGCTCTAGGTCATGCTTTATAGTTAAATGTCTGTCACCATCAATCAGAAGGTTAAGATTCCTGAGCTCAGGTCTTGTCAAAGGCCACCAGGAACCATAAAGACTAGAGTTCTTAAATCTTAGATTGCATCTTACAGCGTAAGAAATAAAAAACCTTTGGCTATGCTTCTGGGAGAGCTGCTCTTCTAAGGCCTGACAATAAAGCATAGTCTTAGGGAAACCTCTCAGAGTTGACCGGTGGACCAGTCTTGTCTCTTGTACTTGATCCTGGGGGAAAGGAGCCAGGTTTTACACCACTCTTGCCTCTCTTCATCCCTCTCCTCTCTAAAATAGTCTGTCCTGTTTGGTATCTGTTTCCATCATAAGACTATTGATAAGAACAGCCACAATTTTCCATCTCATTCCACCTTTCTGAGCTCATTTTTACTGGGTTTTTCCTCTTCTGTCTTTGAACCAGTTTTCCTACTCCGTTTGATTTCTGAAGAGCAGTCCCACCTCACCCTGACTTACAGCTCTGTATTCTAGCTCAGCATTCTTTATTTTTTTTTTCTTTTCTTTTTTTTTTTTTTTTTATCGGTACAGGGGATTGAACTCACGACCACCTGCTTGCAAGGCAGTTACTTAATCCCCAGCCTCAGCATTCTTTATTTATATTCTATAATTTTTATTTCAAAACAAAAACTGGCATCCTGTTTCCTGTCGTTATTTCACAGATGGGAAGCATGAATGTGTGTGCCATTTCTGTCCCGAGGCCTCTGTCATTCCTCCGCCTTGGTTTCACATCGGCTCCCTTACCTGCAGGCTTCTGGGGTACCCCCTCCTTCTCACTGATCGAAAAGCAGCTACTTCTGCTACACCATCCATTTCCTTTCTTGTGAGGTCTGTTTTCAGGACAGCAAGCGAATCAGAAGATGTCAGCTTCCTGCAGGTCACAGAGAGAATGGTGTTAGATCACTATCAGGAAGAACTGTGTGCCTGCCAGAGCAGTTACAAAAAAAAGATGAAAACAGTTTTCTTCACTTGGAACATTAACCACCAAAAGCCTGATAAGAATGTATGAGACAAATTTTATTATTATATCGCAAGACAGAATGTGGATGGATGGCCCCTGCATTCTTCTCTTTGATATGGAATCTGAAATCTCTATTTCAAGCTGAATTTCAGTTTCTGGTCATACTGTGTTATCAAAGGAATCCCCAGAGGGGAGCAGTAGAAATCCATAAATTGAAAGAAACTGGGTAGTCTTTCCCACTCGACAGCTGTATTCTCCACCTGCTGCTAGAAATTATATTCTTTTTTCCTGACATCATGTGCATTGGATGCATCTTTCTGTGCTGTCCTAATGGGAATATAATTTGCCTTCACTTGTTACCTTGATTGTTCCTCTGTGGTGATTGCTCTTAAAATGATTCTGGCATACATTCATGGACCAAATGAGACTCACAAAGAAGAAAAGCAACATAGGCATTTAGGATTAAAATGGACTGACATAAAATAAGAATTTCAAGGTAAAATAAAAAAATAAAAATGGACCGACAGTGGCAGAATTGTGAACTTTCCAACTCTGAGGTGCTGCCTTGGGGAAATGTTTGGAACTACTAATGAGATTGTCGGATAAGTAGCTTTATGAAACCTCAAGGTGCAAACCTACAGAGTTCTCATTTCAGTAGCAAGTTTCTGAATGTACAGTCATCCTGCCAGTAAAGGTCATAGCGTAGGAGATCTGTCCTACTGTTTCTGCTGCTTCTGACCCGCAGCTCCAGCTGCGTGGGTTAATGGGTCAGCACGAACCCCTGAGAAGACCTCTCTTAATTGGCATCTGGTGCTCTCAGGGAGAAACTGAGCTGGGACCACATAAATCTTGCTCTCTATTGTTTTCCTGGATATGTGTGTCTCCGAAAGTCCCCGCCTCTGGCCTCCCCTAAGGGTTAGTTACAGTGCCAGTGCAGGGGTGCACCTGTGCCTGGCCCGCTGTGTGCTGTCAGGCTGAGTTCTGTGGTGTCCCACATTTGTGCCCACAGCAGTCGCCTGTTCCTCTGAACCTGTAATAGAAGTTTATATTCAGCCCTATAGGAGACCTGTAACTTGATGTAATATGAACAAGATGGATGATTTCTAGGACAGATATTTCATTAAATGTAATCATTCTTGCAGAAAGAAAATACTCATTTGGGAAGGAGAACAACAAAGTGAGGAAAGGAAAAAAATGAGAAAAAAATGGAAACAAAGCTTTTGTAAATAAAGAGAAGAAGGGTTGAATGGAGGGTACGGGAGAGGGGGAAGAACTGAGATATATATGTACAGGTACAAAGTCCCTGTGATGAAAGTGACCATTATGTATATTTTAAATGTACCAATAAACTTAATAAATATCATTCTCAATTGCCATACCTCTCAGTTCTGGCCAGTGCACCATAGGCAAGACGTGCTGGTTTTAGTGAAAGTTGTATGGTTTTCTGCTTTTATTCCTGCGCTGTCAGCTGCTGGCCTGGTGTCACCATGCCCTCCCAGACTCCGAGGCACCGCAGTCTCATATCTATAACTGAGCCATGCCTGAAAGATAAACCCCTAATGCTAGATTCCTGCTCTGGGTTTTGTTTTGTTTTTTGTTTGTCTTTGATAGAGGGACCAAACGCAGGGCCACACAAACCTGCTTAACACTCATCCTGCCACCAAGCTGCCCCTCCAGTCCCTGCGGTTGGATTCTCTCCGAGCCTTCTTGTCTTGCTTTCCTTTCTCCCTAATAAATCCATGCTGCTTCTATCCTGGAGAAGGATCACTAGTTTCTCCAACAATTTTCTTTTCTGTAAATTCACAGATTGGTCGAATCATTGCGCCACAACATTCAAGGAAGACGGCTTATGGACCTACCTCAATCAGATTGTGGCCTGCTCCCCTTGGGTTTTATACATCTTCATGCTGGCAGCTTTTCATTTCTCGTGGTCAACGTTTTTATTAATGAATCAACTCTTTCAGGTATTTATTTCTCATAATACCTTTGAGTAGAGTTTCCAACAGCCCATAGTAACAAATCAGAAGACTTAGATTCCAGTTCTGCCTCTGTTAGTTCCTCTGTGAGTGCACACACGTCACTCAGCTGCTCTTGAATTCAGGTCCCTTGCCTATAGAGCAGAGAGTGACCCAATCTGACTTCATTGTTTTACAGATACAGGAACAGAGGTGAATTGAGTTGTTCAGGGTTATCCAGTCAGTGGCAAAGTCAGAACTGGAAGCCTAGACCCTCTTATGGCTCCTCACGCAGTCAGATCTTATGTGCATGAAAGCACGGTGCGAACTGTGAAACACCGTATAAACGCGAGTGAAGTGGTTATTTTCCCTGGGTCTGTCCATTTCCTAGCTGTTGCAGTGGTTAGGTCAATGGAAGTGGGAAGAGGTAAAAGCTACACCGCTGACCAGTGGGTACAGTAGTTACATTTCAAAGACAGTCATGGCCATTGGAAAGTGCACACGCCAGGGCAGGAGCCACCATCAGCTTCTTAGGATGCTTCTGCCCATCCCTGCTGCCTGCCTCCCTCTGTAAGCCTGACCTAATTAACATTGCTGATGTGATCTGCAGCATAGAACAGGCAGCCAACTGGTTCAGTCTGAACCAGTTACGCAGGACCTCAGATAATTGTGTTTTTACTCAACTGAAGCAAAACAAACGCATTTGTGTGGTGAAGTAACCAATTATAACATCATATTGGTTAAAATGAAGGAAGAAGGGAGGTGAAGGAAGAAAGAAAAAAGGACAAGGGAGAAGACGAAAGCGGCCGGGAAAGATAGAGGGGAAAAAACAAATCCCAAGGACCAGGCATAGTGGTGTACACAATCCTCAGCTCTTTGAGAAACTGAGGCAGGAGGATTATAAATTCAAGACCAGGCTGGGCCACCTGGTCAGACCCTGTCTGCAAATGAAAAATGAAAGGGCTGGAGCTCCAGCTCAGGGGCACAGCATCCATGAGTTCGAGCTCAAAGAAGGAAAGAAGGAAGGAAGAGGGAGAAAGAGAAAAGGAGAAAGAAAGAAAAAAAGAGGAAAGGAAGGAAGAAAAGAATGCCAAGGAAAGGAGTGAATACTCCGACTCAAATGAGGTGTCTGGGCATTCATCTGAATCTACCCTTCTTCCTTAACTGTTAGGTAAATGGGTAGTATCATCAGTGATTATTAGTATGAATGATTTCAGTTGTAATCCCTAATATTTACATATGGTTTAGATTTTCCAAGCACTTAGCCAACTATTTTCTCACAAGCATTTGAGGTAAGACTTTATCAAAGGAATAGCTCAGGTTTGTGCATGAAAAACTAAACCAAGAGATGTTTATCACCTTGCTTCTGGCTCTAGGCCTAGGAAGAGGTGGACTTAGGGTAGAACCTAAGATTTGAAGCATCAGTTCTAATTCTCTTTCTTATTTTTTGGATTCTTAGGACAAGTACAGGGTATATGAGGTTTTGACACCATGAATTTTTAAGAGAAAAGTTAATATGTTTTTATATACTTTCTAAGGATGAAAAATGGACTTAAATTTCAGATAATTTTCAAAAACAGGAATTTAGAGCAGAGCTATTTTCCTAATGAGCACAGCAGTCCAGTTCTTTGAAAACGTTCATTTTCTGAGTGCTCTAGCTGGGTGTGGTTTTGACGGCGTTGGGTCAAGCAGAGCACATGGACTGCTGGTCAGGAGCAAGACCAGTGCCCTCGCACTGACCCATGCCACTCCCAGCTCTGCCACTGTCTCGACCACGCGGCTGTGGAGCAGTCAGGTCACCTCTCCGACGCCTCAGTGCTGGGAATGTTAAGTTTATTATCGCAGCCCTGAGCCGCACAGAGAGTGGTGTGCTCAATTCCATGTTCCAGATAAGGAAGTTGCCATTTGAGTTGTTTGAGGATGAAATGAGATAACTAAATAGTTGCAGGTTTTAAGGATTGGGGAGTTTTTGCATCACTTTAATTCTTCTCCAAATTTATGAATTTAAATGTTCTTCATGTCAGTTTGTAAACTTTTTCTTGGGTACCTTTTCAAAGAGCTGCTAAGAACATACAGAACACACAGTGCAATTGAGATAGTTGCCCTGATACTGACTTTAGATTACTTACCCAAAAATCATATATTCAGTGTGTTAAAAATCTAAACACAGGGGCTGGAGGTTTAGCTCAGCGGCATAAGCACCTGCCTTGGAAGCAGGCAGTCGTGAGTTCGATCCCCGGTACCGATAAAAACGAAAAAGCCAAAAAAAAAAAAAAAAAAAAAAAAAATCTAAACACACCCATAAGCCTTTGCTGGAATTACACAGCAGTTATTTCACAATTTAAGTCAATTCACAGTGCTTTCTTGAAAGTTTAATAAAAATGAGATGATTTTAAAAAGAAGGCCTCTTTCCTGTACACAAATAACAAACTCACTGAGAGAGAGATTAGGGAAACAGCACCTTTCACAATAACATCCCAAAAAGTTAAATACCTAGGAACCAATCTAACAAAGGAAGTAAAATACCTCTACATTGAAAACTACACTACTCTGAAAAAGGAGACTGCAGAAGATTTTGGAAAATGAGAAGATATCCCCTGCTTTTGGGTTGGAAGAACCAGTATAGTGAAAAAGGCCCTACTTCCAAAACTGTTACCCAGATTTAATGCAGTTCCAATCAAAATTCCAATAGCATATCTCAACAGAATTAAAAAAACATCATACCACAGTGACATATGTGCATCTTTGTTTATAAGCAACACAATTTGTAACAGCTAGATCTTTGGATCATCCCAGATGCCCATCAACTAAGGAATGGATTAAAAATGTGGCCTTTTTATATAGTGCAGTACTACTCAGCCATAATGAAGTATAAACTGGAGACTTCTATAGATAGATGGATGCAACTTAAGATCGTACTCAAAAGTAAAATAAATCAGCTGCACACGTGTAGACACTGTATTGTCTCCATAGTATGAGAAACTGAAAGAGTAAGTAAAATCCAAAACATATAATAGGTATTGTAAAATGGGAAGGAGCTTCAAAAGTAAAGAGAAACTGGGATGGGGGAAAGGAGAAAAGAAGGAAAGGAAAAGCAAAAAAAATATGTGTATATATATATATATATATACACACACACACACACACATATGCACAAAAGATAGCTAAGATAGTTATACTGCTAACTTCTCTTAGTTCATTAAAAAGAAAGCTTTCTGCTAATATTATTTCAACAATTAAATGCTGGTATCTTGTAATGTGATAAATTAAAGTTAACAAAATGTAATATATTAACCATTGTTACCCTTTCATTATCTCATTTTGAAATTTTGTTTATTTTTTTGTCTTTAAAATAACATTTAAAAAAAGAAAAGGCCTCACTGCTAAGTTTGCATGGTAGCAAACCCAGGACACAGTTTAAGACCACCAAATCTTCATGTGTACTGTGTGGTCCTTGGCCCGGAGGCCAGGCAGGTGATTGAGGTAGTGCTAAATGTTTGCCCAAGCCCTGCGGTAGACCTTTCACTGCGAGAGCCACAGGGCAGTGTGCTCATGTACCTTCCATTCCTCTATTCCAGATTGCTTTTCTGGGCCTGACCTCCCATGAGAGAATCAGCCTGCTGAAGCAGAGCAGGCAGATGAAGCAGACCTTGTCCCTCAGGAAGACACCGTACAAGTAAGTGAGACCTTTTCTGGCCACTCAAGACCAGAAGATTCCCCAGCCAGTGACTTCTGACCTGGTGCCCCACTCTACTGTCCTGGGCCCACGCCGCTATTCTCTAATTTGCTATTTGGTGGAGCTGAGCCCTTCTATTTTGGAAGCCTCGGTGGCAGGGCTGGGGTGGTGAGGTCACAGTCCCAGGGTGGTAAGGAATTTAGTCTGTTGGACCCAGCACAAGGAGGAGGTGTCTGAAGTTTTGCCAGGATGGGGAATCTGCAGTCAGGCCGCACAGTCACCAGCATCCAGGTGGCTGGGTCGGAGTCAGCATGAGGTGATTAAGCACGTGACCAAGCAGGCCACCCTCGAAGCTGTCAGAAGTGTGTGTTTTGCTGGGATCCTCAGCCTGGCTTTCCGTCACCAGTAATTTTTTCATCCCCGTGTTCAGTGTGCCCACCTGCGTCAGGACGAGGCAGTTTTTCAGGTTTGGAGTAGGTTCCCCAGAGCACTGAGCGTGTAAAACCTGTCTGTCTTCAGTTAAAATGGGACGTGTGTAGGAAGACTGTCATTTCACAATAGGAAAAAGATAGGGCTTTGAAGCTTATCTCCCTGCCACCTCCGTCAGGGTCTTGGAGGCCAAGCACGCTGCAGAGGTGACCCAGACGCCCTGAGGGATTGAGTGTTCACTGCCTATCTCCCCAACAGTCTATTTTAAAGCCTCCTCTTGGTACAGGATGAAACAGTAAGGCTGTTAGACAGGATTGGAGTCTGGGATGTGACTGCAATGCATATTTAGAGAAGAAAACTGGACTTAATAGGAAGAAATGACTATACCCCTGGGAGTATGGTGTGAAGCTCAAGGTGATTGTTTTGGACTGGCAGTGATGATAAAGTCCCTTTCTCAGGCCTGGGAATATAGTTCAGTGGCACAAGCACCTGCTTGGCCAGTGCAAGGTCCTGAGTTCGATTCTTGTACCAAGCCCTGAGGAGAGTCCAAAAAGGGGAAAGGAGATGAGAGCCGATGCACATTGGCTGCATAACTCAAGGAACTAAAGATAAATCCTTGGAGTCACTTGGAGTCCAGTTTCCAAATCCTGCCCACTCCAAAGCTTTTACCTGTCCATCCTCCTTTGTTAACTAGGTATTGAGCCAGACCCTGCAGTCTCCCTACTGCACTCCAGCATTTCCATGTGGTCAGCCCTGTCCCTAGGAAGCTGCTTTCTGAGTAGCATTTGATTCTCTCCTGACAGTGGCACAGTGCCCTAAACAGCCACAGCACAATCATCCTTACGCACAAATGTGGTGTGGTTTGTTTTGTGGTACTGAGGCTCACACCAGGGGTCCTGCATGCTAGGTGAGGGCTCTGCCCCGAGCTGGTTCCTAGCACAGTGCTTATTTGGATGTATCCAGGAGATTGAGTTGCACTTAAAGGAATGGGCATATGTGTAAGAATAATCAGTGTTCATACTGGGATAAAATAATAGTGTTCAGGAGTTTAATGGGGAAAAAGTGCGCTGAAGAGGGCAGTCGGGAAGGGCCCAGGGAAAATGTGGACCTCGACTGGTCTTGAGAACTGGTAGGACTTAAAATGATGAGGAGTCACTAAGGCAAAGCTGGGAAAGTATGGGTTCCAGGCCCACCCAGTTGAGATCATGGGGAAATAGAGCCAGCAAAAGAGTGGCAGGTTTATGAAGATGACTCGCATGCAGAAACGTGGGTTTGTTGTAGTGGCCTTGACCATAGAGATGAGTGGTTTGGGTTGGCGGCTGTAGGCCGAGGAGTGTCCTGAAAGGCTTTTTATTGGGAGGAGATGGACTGTGAATGCGTCAGGGGTTTTGGAGGACTAGACAGACTCAGAGATGTAGGGTGAACCGGAAGCAATTGAGGGAGGTCCAGCATTCAGAGACATGTTTGGGCAGTCAGAGGGAAAGAAACGTAGCATGTTGATTATAGTTGTTCTGGCCTGCGTGACTTTCAAGATACCCCACGTCTGAGTTAGGGCAGTGGGGAGTGAAAGGAGGAACTTGGGGGTGGCAGTAGGGTGAGTGTGGGACTCAAGGAGGTGAAAACAAAAAGCCCAGTGAGGCTGCTGGCACAAGGCAGGGAATCTCAGAGGGGGATGCAGATCCAGAAGAAGAATTGTGTTTCAGTTTTAAGGGTTCGTAAGTCTAGGAATAGTCTGAGTACCTCTGGATTCCTGAAGGGTCCTCAGAGGATATGTACGCCCCATGACTGTTTCTGGTTTGTGAAGAGCTATGCAAGACGTGAAATAAGGCTCGCTCTCTTCTTCTCTCGGCAGCCTTGGATTCACACAGAACCTGGCAGATTTCTTTCGGTGTAGCTGCTTTGGCTTGGTGAAGCCCTGCGCAGTCGATTGGACATCCCAGTACACCATGGTCTTTCATCCAGCCAAAGAGAAGGTTCTTCGCTCTGTATGAAGAAAAGGATCTCAAAACTGTCATTCTGATTTGTTTCTGTTTATGATGGTGTCCTGCCAGCTCTGAAAGAGAAATGAAGTGTACAGTTCATCTAAGCCCAAAGGAAAACACGGGTGGTTTTAGAGCCATTTGGTAAAACAATGAAGGTATTACTCTTTCAGGCTGAGAAAGATGAACTATTCCTGAATGCTCTTGGCAGACACTGTTTAAAAAAAATTATATTTTTCACAAGAAAATGCAAACTACTTTTTTTGAAGATAATGTTCATTGCTTATGGATAAAATATTTTGAGATACTATATTGGCTGTTTCAAAGTAGTACTATTTGAGCATGTAATTTTTGATAAGTTATTCATCATTATATCTATAAATATGTAAAGAATATTTAAGTAGGTATCTGTTTTGCTTTCACATTTAATAAAATTTTCTTTTGTAATTGAGACTTAGTTTATGTTTATATGACATAAAGAAATTTGCAGTCTCAGGAGTGAATTGAGATTACTGCTAACCCCAGTAAGCTTTAATTTAATTTTCCATCTTATTTAGAAATTGAACATAGGCAGTCTTAAAGATTAATTACTGTGTTTACTTAGTACCATCAAAATATTACACCAGTTTGACTGTAATTACTAATTTCTTTATTCTGGAGGAAACACTGATTCAACTTTAACTCTTGGTATAATATAGACATCCCTGGGCATGTCACCTGCCTGCGGTCCCCATTACCTTTGAAATAAAAGCTGTGATTCACATCATGACCTACAAGGCCCTGAATGATACGACCGTTTCATGTTAGCAGTGTCATTCTCAATTACGCTTTGTCCTCTAATCACATTGACCTTTCAGCTCCTCAGGGATCCATTCCACTTCCTGAGGTAAGAAAATTAAACCCAAAGGGAGTCTGTGTCCTCTCTACAGTCACATAGACACTGAGTGGAGTTGGCACAATGGAGTACCAGTGACTTAGGTTAGTACCTGATACCTGCTTTTCATTCAATCAATAATCATTTGTTGAATGAAATACAAAATAAAGGTTTTGTTTTTGTTTCTTTTTAAGCAAGACTTGATCTGATCAAAATTGTATTTGAAGACTCTGATTCTTAGTTGGTGGACTAGAGGATTTCCTCAGACTATGTTCTTTCTTTCCCTTTCTTACTAAGTAAATATTCTCAAGCTGTGGTCCATAGGCCATTTAAATCAGAATCACAGGAACCAGGTGGGAATTCAGGGCTTACTTCTTTAAAATTCAGACCTCCCACTCAGATCTTCCAAGTCATTCCAAACCACTGTATTCTAGTACTTCTAACTGGTATGTAACTTGGAAAGTACATTTTATGAATTTTTAGATTATTCTACAAATGTGGAGCACCACGTTTGGCCTTACAGGCCATAGAACATGTCATTGGATGTACTCATCATGAAGCTTACAGTCAAGAGAGACAACTAATCTAAGTGCGAGTATAGTATAAGGTGCAAAATACTAAAAGCTATTGAGAAGCATGCAGATAAAATACTGTTGGAATTTAGAGGTCAGAGTCACCTTAGTGGATATGATCAAGGAAGATTTTATGGATGATGTGATTTTTGAAGGCTAGGATTTTGAAAGCAGTAAGTAGCCAGATAATCTGGAGGACATTTGATGTCTCAGATGTGTGATGGTCAAGAAAGTTAATGTGATGTAAATATCCCTTTAGTGGCTTTAAACTATAAGACTACTTCTTCCTCATACCACAATCCACTTAGCTGTTAGCAGGTGTCTTCATGCAGAAATCCAAGCTTATTCCCAACTAGTGACTCCACAATTCCCTATAGCCTCAATTCTACTGGATCCTCTGTATCCAGAGGTGCAGAGAATAGAGACTCTCCCAAGAGACCTTGGTGCCCACAACTCCAGTGTCTGTACCGTGGTGAGTACACACAGCCCACGGTAGCACACACGCCATAGGTTTGCCACCACTAGTTTAGACCCAGTCATATGTCTCAGTCATTAGCAGGAGAGTCCAGAAACTAGCAGAATAGTATAGCTGGGATGCAGAAAAGAACATTTTTCCATTCCACTGGACCACGGGGAGGCTCTTCCTTTGCTTTTACTGAAATTTCTCAGCATTAAATTGTCTCCTTTTGCATTGTAGCCAAGATTGCATTTAGTCTGACCTACATTGTCCCCCTCCTCATTCACTCAACAAATGTTTATTAAGTGCCTGCCATTTGTAGAACATTGGAGTGCAAGTGTGCCATATTCTAACAAGGAGATAAGTGGAAATTTCAAATTCTATGCAATGAGACAGCTTTGTTAATTATATATCTATTACTGCAGTGCAGAGGTGGACTCATTCTCTGACAGTTTAGGATTTATTTTGCAAAGGAGGTGACATTTGACCTATGATTTATTTGATATTTTACCAGAATAAGTTGAATTCTGGGAAAGATGGTGGAGGTTCTGTTTTCTAGGAGTTCCAGAAGGAAAAGTGTTAGCAAATTTACAGTGGGGTGGAAGCAATAGGTGTTTAAAAAACTTGAGGTCTTTTGAGTATAACTCGAACTTGTAAGGAAGAGATTGTCTAAAGTTAACTTGGAGGAAGGCAGAGGCCAATATGTTAAAGCCCTTATATGATAAACCGCTAGGGGCTCATTTGTGTCTCCCCACAATTCACATGTGAAGTGCAAACTGCCCTCAGAATGTGACTCTAAAGGTGGACCCCAATCTAGCATGACAAGTGTTGTTATTAAAAGAGGAGTTCAACACACACACAAAGAATACCATGCAAAGACAAAGGAGAAGACGGCCATCCAAAGCCAGGGAGAGAGGTCTCATAAGAAACTGACTGGCCACCCATCCTCAATGAATGTCAGCCCCAGCAAACTAACACATGTGCCAAAGAGTGAGGATGGAAGCCATGTGTCCCAGAGGTATTTTGAGATTAGAATAAGGAAGCTTGAAGAGTGAGCTGAGGAGGGGTAAGGGAGAGATCAAAGCTCAAGATACTTGAAGTTTTTAGCTTCTGTCTCCTGAGCTGAGTAACTGGTAATGCAGCAGGAAGTCCACACGGGGCTTTGTCCAAGGCAGCGTGCGAGCAGCCCTGGGCAATCACTCAGTTTAAACACAGCTTTCCTCAGGACTTGGTACATGGGAAACCCGTCGTTTAGCCTAAGATGTCGTCATCTTTGTCAGATTTTAGTTGCTTTCATTTACTCGAAATAATTTAAAGTTGCACAGAGATGGGAGAATTGGTGCTGTTATTAAAAGGATACATGTGCTTGAGCCGCTGAGAATTGGCTGAGGAGGCAGAGAAAGGGTCTCTAATTGGCTGCATTTCATTTGTGCGCCTGGCAGTTTTAAAAAACTGTTAAACCTCAGGGCATTGTTCTGGAATAAAAGAGAATCATCCTCATGTCATTTATAATGCCACAGCAAATGTCATGCTTTGTTGTCATTTCTGAGTTTTCATAAAATGTGTAAGATTGCAAAGCTAGCAATAGAACAAAAGGATCAATGCCAGCAATGTTATTATTTTTTATTTCCTTTTTAGAATTTGCTATCTTGTTCTCTGTACCCTCCCGGGTCCCCTGTTCTCTGCTGGCAGTAACCAGAAAGACACTCAGCTGGCAGATTCTGGAAGGCCATCTTCTAAATCCATGATTTCTCCCTTCTCCTTTCCCAACTGACACCCAGATTCATTCTCTGCAGCTAATTTTTTGAATTAGCTCTGTTTTGAACACTCCTCTTCCAAAAAAAACATTCAAAAACATACAAGGTACCACTAAGACATTCATTTATTGCCTCTCCCACCCCATGGATTTTAAATAATAAAGCAGTTGTTACATATTAAATTTTAAACGATTTTTTCCTAAAGATTTGTTGTTATTGCTGTTGTTGTTGTTTTTACTTTGGAAAAGCCTACAAACAATTCTGAAGAGAATGTTGTCCAAACCACAAAGGAGGCTGACTGGGAAAAGCTTCTTCTGTGAGGATCACTCAGTAACGCCTTCCGTAGTGAAGGATGTGAGAAGCAAAACTCTTTTCATTCTTTCTTTTCCACTTGGTGTGTAAGGCCCCCAAACCCGATGCCTGTAGGGCCAAAGTTTTTGGCATAGCAAACTGAATGAGAGGGAGGGAGAGAGGGAGAATGTTGATTAGCACCACTGTTTCAGATCAGGTGCAGAGGCACCGTCCGTTACTTATGAAAGCCAACTTTTTTCATAAAGGTATCTGTGAGTTAACTTTTGAATAAATGATATTTCTCAGAGATCTGCTTTTGCTTTGTTTTCAGACCTTTTCTCCTGTGAGTTGAAGAACGTGCTGTGGTGTCCACTCTTGAGTGGCACTGCTGCTTGGTCCTGGAGTGCCCCCTCCCAAACCTACAGTCACCCTCCGAGCCCCAGAGGAAGGGTGTCTTCTGAGAAGCGCCCATCAGCCCAGCTGATTGCTGTCCTCTTTGTAGGCAGCCACATTGTGATTGTTCCTCCCCTGCAGCTTTCTCCATGTGGAAATGGAATTAGCTTGTATGCTGATCTCACCAGCCACAGGATTCTAGGATTTCATGGCCTGGGAATGGTGAGGACCCTCTCTGTCCTCCACTACCAGGAGAAAGCAGCCTCCCATCAAGGGCTGAGTCAAGGACCATTCTGTCTCATCGGAAAAGCTCTGGCAACCTGTAGTCATAATGAACAATGCTCTATAAACCCTCTTCCCACTGCTGCCCTCGCTGACTCCCCCAACAGAGTTAGAGATTCCTGGAGCATCGTTAAATGATGATGTTCAACAGAGCAACAGAATAGGCCCCGGAGGCTTTGGGTGGAGACAGTTGCCTCAGTCCCAGTGCCCTTCTTTTCATGGTATTAGGAGGGAGCTGAGCCTCACTGTCTCTGCACAGGACCTGGGGGTTATAGAGAGCTGCAAGGACCAGGAGGAAAGCCAGTTCTGTCACCATGATCACTAAGTGACTGCAGCATCAGAAATCAAAATGTCAGAAGGGATGAGGGACAGACAGGAAGGAAGATGGAAGGAGGGGAAAGGGCAGCACACGGGCAAGAGAAGAGAGAGAGAGAGCATGATAAACTCAAGAGAGGCCACACACACTGCCTCCTTCCCCAGCCCTCCAACCTGCCTCCCAGGTGGACTCACCAGGGCCAGAGGCAGGCCCCTTCCTTCCTCTCCTCTACCTGGCACCCTCGGCCCTGCACTGCTAAGCATCCTCAAGCCTCTGATCCCCCTGGGTGCCTTCATGGTGAGGAGCAGAACTGGGCCAAGTGATCCTCTGCATTTCTCTTAAACAGTTTTGCTCCACATCCTGAGAGCCCACACTCTGCCCAGGTGGAGCAGCCCTGCTCTTGGTTGACACAAGGAGGCCTCTAGGCATGGTCAGGCTTACCCTCGAAGGATACCCCAAGGGAAGAGAAGTCTCCGGAGCCACTCACCTTTGCAATAAAGTTCCCCATCTTTGTCAGTGACATTTGTGGACTCCAGGCTCTTCCCACAGATGGCGCAGCGGAAACAGGTCTTGTGCCAAGGCTAAGGGGCATGAGAGTGGCTTATCAGAGGTAGCAGTGCATTTTGGTTACCTTTTGAATTTTCTAGCAGCAACCTACAACATGCTTTCCTCTACTCAATGGGGCTCTAGCCCCATCAAACTTTCCATGGTTTTGGAGAAGATGAATACAATGGCTTTGACCACTATTTCTCAGAATACTGAAAATGGATTTATTGCAGTGATTTGCACATGAGTTCCTCCAGAGAAGAACAGAGGGAAGGGCTTTCCTATGGTGAAAAGATCCAAGGAATGTGCTGGTCAAGATAGGACTTGGGGTTGGGATAGAAGGTAATGTTTGTGCTAAAGATAAAGATAGACAGCAGTGACGAAGCACACTGCCATGTATGTCATCAATCTTGTCTTCATTCTACAGTGCCCCTGACAGAGTTGCTAGGATTGTTTGAAATGTCCTGCGCTGCCTACACATTACATCTTTCCGGCTAGAGGCTGTCACAGGTCTGTGAAGGGCTGGTCTTTGTTAGTGACAGTCTCTGGGCTCGAAGCCCATCCCGTCCCAGCCTCTTCTTGACATCTAGTATCAGCAGGATATTTTCCCCTTCCTCAGGTCCAGCTCCTTTGGTGAGTACCCTGACTGTGGGCCTGAGAGACGGTTTTTAGAATACTGCACCTGAGTGTTTCCGACATCTGATGCCTCTCCTGAAACCCAGGACATCTGTGAGTATGTCATGCTGCTGTGAGGCAGTTTCTGGGTGACAACAGGAGCACGTGGCATTATGCAGCAGAGACAGGTTCACAGGGCTGACACCTTAGTGGACTGATTGTGTACATGGATCCTGGGGGACCTGTGTGCCTTGTGTCACAAGAGCTTTAGCTCACTGCCTTGGTCCTAGTACAGTGGTGATGAATCTTTTAGGGTTTTTGACACAAACAGCCCCTGGGGAACATGTACCATGGATTCTCCACTGTCCTATGAAGTTAACACGCATTGCAGCAAACTACATCTATTCTTATTTTTTAAGGACACTTCTAGGTGACAGTCACATCCCAGACAGGTGAGTGAGGATGTATTGTGATCTACAAGGGGTGATCAAACTTTACAGTGAAAGTTTGAGTAAAAATGTATTACAGTAGAGCATATATTGCCATTAATCTCCCTCTCCTCAAACCCACCTATCCCACTGTTCTTTCTGACACTTTCTGAAGCAGTTCTGGAAGTCGTCTTTCATGAGTGTCTTTGCAAGATGTGATGAAAAAAAACATGGTGTATGCTGTTGTATACCACCCAACAGGAAGTAGCCACCCACCTTATTCACAGGGTCTGGTACCATGCAACTTTTTGGCTCTTCCCCAAAATCATAATTACCATGACAGGTAAACATTTTTCTTTTTGGGGTTTACTGGTTTGTTTGTTTAGGGGTTCTGGTTTGTTTGTTGGGTGTTTTGTTTTGTTTTTTGAGACAGGGTTTTGTCATGTAGTTCAGGCTGGCCTCAGACTCCTCACAGTCCTCCTGCCTCAGCCTCCCAAATGCTGTGATTACAGGTGTGCACCACCATGACTGGCAAACATCTTGAATCGATTTAGGACAGTGGATCAGTCACATACCACAAGTAAAGACATTCAGGAAAAAGGACTTCCAGGACCACTTCTGAAAGAGGCAAGAGCCATGCGTGGTGATACACACCCGTAATCCCAGCTCTCAGGAGGCTGAGGCAAGAGGATTGTGGCAAATTTGAGGCCAGGCTACACAGAGAGTTCAAGGTCAGTCTGAACAAGCAAGCAAGGCCCTGTCTCAAAAAACAATGTCAAGAACAATGGGAGAAGTGTGTTCAAAGCCAGGGAGAGGTGTTTGAAGGAGGATTAATGTCAGTATGTCTTTCACTGTGGTACACTTTTTAATGTAAACATTAACTAATTTTTTATCGCACTTCCTGAAGGCAGTGCAGGTCTGTCCCCACCTCCCAGCAGCCCCAGTTCTCTCCTTCCCTCCCATGCATCCAGTTGTAGATGAGCAAACCCCATGTGGCGCATGCAGAAAGCCTTACCTTGCCTCCTCCCATGACTTTCTCAGCAGCGTAGACTGACTTTCCACATCGAGGGCACTTCTCAGACTCACCAAACTTCGCAGTGAACTTGGAAGGGTTGCTGGCGGTGGCTGATCGTGCCTGCTTTGGGGACCTAATGGAAATAGATTGATGAAGTATAGGCCTTCCTGGGCACACAGTGCGAGCTGCATGTCCTCAAGTGGGCTGCCTCACTTCTGCGTGCCTCTGTCTCCTCATCTGGAAAATGGAGATGATCGCAGCACCTTTCTTATAGAGCTGTTGAGAGGGTTAATGAGGAGACCTTTGCGGAAGTGCTGAGAACAGAGCCTGCGTGGCCTGCTGCAGTGGGATTAAGCAGGGCGTGGTGGCACACTCCCATAACCCCAGCACTCAGAAGGCTGAGGCAAGAGGATCACTGCAAATAAAAACCAGCCTGGGCTCCAAAGGGCAGCCTGAACTATATAACAAGACCCCATCTCAAAAAGACAATAAAATAAAATGTATTTCTTTAAAAAAAAAAATGGGATGAAACAGCCTCTGTGTTGTAAAGCATGCAGCAAGTTCTCCATGTGTGCTTGCCTCTAGTCTTGTCATTGTCCTGCAGTTATGACTGCTATGCTAGCCTGTTTGGGCTTTTCTGCACTATCTCAAAGCTCAACAGTTTGCTGTCTGAACTGCGTTGTGAAAGTCTAGGGCAAGATGGGAGGTTGATTGTTGTGCAGATCAGATCCTGATAAACAGCAGTGCAAGGGACTGATGCTCTCCTTGTCACAGTCTAAGCTGTCCTGTACCCAAGGTCACTTGTCCCCATGAGCACAGCGTCCCAAAGAGAGGACAGTAATAGCCCCCACGTCCTTAGATCTTTTGGTGCGTCCATGTACATTCTATGGCTCGAACCTTGCTACAACCCCATGAAGTATGCAGCATGGAGGAGAAACTGCCCAAAGGCAGGCAGCTCATAACTGATGGGACTGAGAGATGAAACCTCCAGGTGTAGATTCTTGCCATTCTTTGGACCTTATCAAAATAAAATGAGCTGTAGATATCGGAAGGAGGGCTTTATATAATACAGGGTAGAGAATGCAATCGCTATATCTTTTCTTTATGAAAAGTCTCAATCCAGGCCTGGTGGTGCATACTTAAAATCCTGTTTCTCTGGGAGGCTGAGGCAAGAGGACCATAAATTTAAGTCCCAGCTTGGGCAATTTAGTAAGACTCTGTCTCAAAATGAAAATAATTTTTTTAAAAGGTGAGCTGGAGATATAGCTTCATGTGAGGGTCCTGGGTTTGATCCCTAGTACCTAGCGGGGAAAGGTTTCCAGCTGGGATGTGGTAATCAAAGAAATTAACAAAGAGTTCTCTCTTCAGGATGATACTCACACATCCCCCCACTTTTCCAGGCCCTGTGGTGGGTTACTCCCTTGTGAAGGAACCAGATGGCCCCTTAGATGTCCCAACTGCTCTGTGGGGGAGCCTCAGAGAATACTCCCACAGTTGGGCAAGGCTTTTCTGGCCAGGCCCTCTGCAAGGCTGAGCCTGGATACCAGCTGACCAGGCAGCAGCTGCAGGCCACTGGCCATCATACAAGATCCTCAGTTCTGGGCCAGAGGTCAATGTGATCATCTAGAAAGCGGGCTGCGAAGCAGGCTGGTAGGGGGAGGTGGCCACTATTATGTCCCACTTTTCAGGATGGTGTTGGGGGAAATCCAGCAGTGCTCCTGCAACAGGCAGCCAGGGAGACGCACGGACGACTTGTAATTGGTTATTTCCTCCTGAGACTCAGCCCATTCCCGCTGACCCCTCCCCTATGCTGTGGACATTAGCCATCTTCCAATGGAAGGAAAGAAGTCTTTTAGTGACAAGCACATAGAGAATGACCATCCCCTTCCCACCATATTTATGTGATTTACACAGAAACCCTCAAAGGGGAGGAAGAAAGACGCCATGTAGTTTTGGAAAGGTCAAACAATAGAACATCTGTACATTCCGGGTTTTCTCTTGACATGCAAAGCCAGAGCCATGGTGTAAGAGTAATTGCCCTTAAGAAAGGCAGATCATTACAGACCCCTTTGGAGCGATGACATATTGTTAGAACTTGGTCAGAGTGAGTATTCCTATTGTCGTCAAGTCAACAATGGAGTCCATTCTCCCCCTTCCAGAAAACGTTGCTATGGGAACGGAATGAACTGTCCTGGTAATGGGAGACTGTAACAGGGCGGGGGAGTGTGGCAGTAACTCACTGTTGGAACTGCAGGCCGAGGTGCTCCCCTGTGTCTGTGCTGAGACAGCCGGCGCCTTGTCCGTACCCGATCCCCTTGGGGCCGTACCTGCGCCCATAGCAGACCTTACAGTAGATCTCTGACTCGTGAGCAGCTACTGTAGTGCTGTCGAGAGCCTTCCTGCAGGCCACTGCAGAGAACAGGAAGAAGGGTCAGGGCTGGGGTTGAGATCCTCCTCCCCTGGCTTGCATCCCCAATACCTTTGCTTGGAGGCGTTGGGGCCAGAACTCAACTTTGATTGCTGTCTAGAACATGTCTGAGTTGCTGACCTGAAGAGGGTCCCATTTTCACAGTTGAGGAAATTGGGACACATAGAATAGAAAGGATGTGTACAGTGTAGCCAGCAAGAAAAGGGCACAGGCCAGCATGTGGTCTTAGATCTGCTGAGAACAGTGTCCCTGGACAACAGATCCCGGCAGATGACATCAGGAAGTGGGTGCATGCATGTGTGGAGGGGGAGTGTGGGGCTGAGGCAGGAGGGGAGCACTCTCTGTACTTATCATGGCCTTTGAAGGGCAGTGTAAGGAGGCAGTCAACATGGAGACCAGTCTGGGTGGTCCAGTTATGGAAGCAAGGGAGGGGCAGAAAGGACAGACCTGACTTGTGCAGCCCTCAGGCTTCACTAGCTCTGTAGGATCTCATGTGAAGCAGCCCCAAAGATAAGACAGCCCACACCCCAATCTTTCAAAGAGAAGATCTGTAGGAAGATGTTTGTTTTCTTGCAAACTTGAATAAAAAGACTTGCAAAGATGTGAAAAAGTCAAGTATCTTCTTCAAATATTTAACCATCTATGTCAATAAAACATTGATTGCGAGATGTTACTTGTTCTCATCTCATAAAAACTCAGAGAACCTTCGTATCTCACTCTCTCTTCACATCTTCCGCCAGTCACTCTGGGGGCAGCTGGTCCAGCTTGCTAAGCAGCTCACCTACCCTTCTGTCTGAGTCCTTGGAGAGCAGCCCAGTTTCCCACTTGATTAGGAGACAGACACCTGCAAACTGTATCTCAACAAGCATTTGTCACACTATTAGCATAACAAAAGACAGCTTTGCAATACATAAAGATTTCCCCAATGTAACAATTTGCTTTGCAACAATAATCCTTAAAGACTGTTGAAAGGGATGGTGCTTGTAACACTGAGATTATAGCCCAGAAAAAACAAAATTTACATTAAATTTATTTTCCTCTTTTTTAAACGATTCCATCAAATGATCTCTATGAGCAATCCAATGTGATATGAGGTTGTTTTTGGCCACAAGCCTTCTTCAAGTAATACTTTATTGTTAAAAATTAATGTAATTGAATAAAGGAGTGGAAAAGAAGCCAGACGTTGTAAGGTGTGGTTGCTAGGGCTTGATGGCTGTGGAGCCAGGGAGACCAGCATGTGGCAGAGTTCATTCAATTATCTTGGCAATAGTGTGTGGGTCGAAGTTTAAATGCATCTGTTTTTGAACACAAGGCAATCTTTTCATGAAGAATAAAATGGGGGAATATTGTATATAGGGGCATAGGAAGTGGGTGCCTGTCTCTGTTGTTACTTTTAGCACCCTCCACACTACTGCTCACATATTTGCTGATGGTAGGTGTTGGATTCCAGGAAGACCAGTGTATTTTACCTTAATAGACCCAGGGCATGGCAGAGGCCTTAACCAGAGTTAGTCCTCCGTGAGCATTTACTGAATGAATGAACTGATGAATGAGAGCACATGGCAGTGGGAATCAATGCACTGTCCATAATTGTACAGCAGCAAATTGCAGAACCATAGCTGATCTCAAATCCTTGGACTTCCACCGTCAGGGTTTGTATCTAGTTGTCCCTCTAGAGCCTTCTGTAGTCATTGGTGGGGCTTTTCAGAGGTGGCTGGGTCTAGAGTGTGTGGTGCAGGGACCAAGTGTGTGATTACTAAATCAGTCCACTGATTGGTTTGGTGTAATTCTGTTGGGATTAAGGGTGTGAGTGTTACACCTGCTCTATGGAGAGGACCCTGCTGAAATATACAGAACAAAAAGAGAGCCAATGCGGTCTCATCTGGCTGCTTGCTGTGGACTGTTTCTCCTCTGCAATGCCCCTCTGCCATGCCTGCCACCCTGCCTTGCAGTTAGCTGACTATGGACTGATACCCCTCAGACTGTTAAGGCAAATAAACCTTTATTCCTTTACCTTTGGGTGTCACATATCTTGTCTCAGCAATGAAATAAGTGACCAATACACCTCAGCACAGTTCACCAGCCTGTCTCCCACTTGCCCTGGCCAGTTCTTCGGCCTTTCCCTGACTTCTCACCAAGGAGAACTATGCTGTCCTATACCCCAGCCATTAGCCACCTGCTGACAGGAAGCCTGAAATACATTTTGTATATCAAATACTCGGTGCAAACACAAAAGAAAGGTAAAATATCCCATCTTTATGTGATATGTGACTACACATTGAAATTGCAATATTTTAGAAGACTGGATTTCAAAATTCTTCTGGAGCTTTTGCTAGGCACACTTTTTCAAACTAGACACGTTATGTGTATAGCTTGTATTCTATTTCTTTTGAACAGCACTGATACAGAGGATTTGGATGGTGATAAATTATGGTTATTTATCTAGAAATCAGGAGAACACTTCCTAGAGGATGAGCTAAGGTAGACCTGTGCTCTCTGAACACGATTTCTGGCAACCAAAAGTCATCTTGTGAAAATAATACAAAAGAACATGCTCCTCCCTGGGACTCTCTGTACACCCCTCCTGAAACTTCTCAGATTCGCACCCCATGTCCCACCCCTTCTGCCGTGACTCCATTGAACAGGGTGTCTTCTTGCTACCTGGCCAAGACAAGACACCACCTACCATGGACAGCTTCCTGTTCCCACACAGATCTCCATGTTGGTCAAAGGAGAGAGAAACCCAGAAGGCTGGATTTCCAGACCAAGGCCCTCAGGTGACGTCTTCTCTGTATCACGCTACGTGGCGAGGGACAACCATCTCCATTTTATAATTGGGGCTCACAAGGATAAAAAGTTTCCCCAGGGCTACAGTCAGGACACAGCAAGGCCCAGCCTCAAACCTTAGTTCTTTTTACTACAGTTCCGGTGTTCTTTCCAATATCCCTCATTTAAAGACTACTAGACATTTTTTTAAACAAAAGCTAGAGGGTTCTGAAATGAACTGTCTTACTGATGAATGAATTTTGGATAATTGTGATAGTAATGAATAATAATGATGACTATGAGGATGGTGTAAGATAACTTAAAAATAATTACCCATGATGAAAACCCAGTGCACCATTAAATCTGCCAACCAAATCACTCAGGGCAGGGTACCCTCATTTTCTGTCTCCTCCTTTGATCATTACGTTTGCTACCTGCATACAGATCACACAGCTGATACAACGTCACTATTCCCAGCAGTCTGAGGATGGAGTGTCTCCCTCTCCTGACGGATGGAGCCCAGCCCTTTAGGTTCTGTTTGAAACTGCTTGCTGCTCCATGGCGCCTTGCTGCCCCTGGGCAGAGCGTGGGGGTGTGGCTGGATGAGGAGCTAGATAGGGAGGAGCCGATCAAATATCCAGCAAAGCACAGTCTTTAGCCAGAGCCACATGAGGAAGCAGAGAAAGTAAGTGGCCGTTTCAAAGCGATGGGGCCAGGGTCATCCAGAACAGAACCAGCCATCAGGAAACTGAAGTGTGCAATCTTGTCAAAGAGTAGTGGCCTGGGAGACTGAAGGTGCGGACTCCCAGGCTCTGCCTCACGTGACCTGAGTTTGGAGACTGAGAAATGATTCTACCGACAGTCACATGATCATGGCAGCTCAAAGCTCCCCCAGTTCTGACATTTGTGAATCTGTGTCCGGTAGGCAGTGATAAAGACTGCCTTCATGGAGACCTGGTGACCAGCCCACGAGCTTCAGAAACGGCACAGAAGTGTTACCCGCTACCTGACACAGATTCTTTCTTAAGAAAGACAAGTCACAGCTGGCTTCAGTGACAGCTGGTCCCTGGACAAGACAGAAGGCCAAATCCACTTTGGTTCCAGATAATCGCTGGCCTCCTTTCTCTGCCAAGTCACACTTGGTGAATGTCGCCGCTGGGTCAGGGTTTTCACACAGAGCACAGGGGCGAGCCAGCTTATCTTGACTTGGATGCAGGGAGATGGCCTGTGAGCCGCATGTGTGTGGAGAAAGAGCTCAGGGGGTACTGTTCTTCCTCCAGGGGGCCCACAGGTGACAGTTCTCACGAGGCCCCTGGCCTGGCTCAGGTGGACTGACAAACACTGTGAGGCTGGATAAGTGGTTAAAGGAGTACTTGAGATGCTCCCCTAACCATGTATGGGGGTGCACGCCTATAATCCCAGCACTCTTGGAGCCTGGGTTAGGTGGATTGTGAAATCTAAGCCCACCCCGGGCAATTTAGTACACTTGGTGAGTTAAAGTCTCTTATAGGAAAGGGTGGGAGGTGAGGATGTAGCTCAACTGGAAGGCCCCAGAACCAGAAGAAAAGGCCCACTTTGCTGCAGACACCCCACAGGGTCCACCCGACTCACTGCAGTGGAAGCAGGTCTTGTGGAAACTCCTGCCGTTGCACTGGATTTCCTCTGCATGGTAGACCGTCTTTTCGCAGGCTCCACACTTTGCTCCTCCACCCCAGTTTGGCATTTTGAAGACTCGCTGATTAAGATCACGTCTAAGAAAAGAGAAAACCAGTACCAGGTGATATCAGGAGTGAACCTGAGTATGCGATCACCTGAGGACCAGAATCCAGCTTCATTTGTTCAGTGGTTCATTCATTCATTCATTCATTCGTTCATTCTGCAAACAACTGTTCTGTGCACTTAGTTCAGACACTCAGATGGCTTTGCACGGTCCCTTTATCACTCTGGGACTGTTTTCTTTCCCGTAAATTCCAATAACATCCGACCCTGTGTGAGTCTCACACAGTTCTCAGATGGCCCAGGTGGCTAATGTTGTGTATCTAAAATTACATACAAATATTGCAGTCATTTTTCCACCTATGGTTTAAAAAATTGTCCCATCAGAAGCGGGAGTCACCTCAGCCATTGACGTTATGCTTCTAACCCAGTGCCTCTCCAATCACCCAGGGCCTCTGGGAACACAGATTCTGGCTGGTCGGGACAGGCAGTGGTGATACCGCTAAGCCTTTGGGTAGCAAGTTCTTAGCTTATAACGTATGACATTAAAAACCTCTTAACTCAGGTTTATTCCTCACCTCTGGACAGCCGCTCTTTTAGACTGTCATGGCTCTGGCAATGAAATATATGGAAGTCTGCCCGGGCTGCCAGCACTGTACTCGACTTGCTGTGACAGAGAAAGAGCCGCCTGGCTTCTCCTTGCCTCTTCCCACCTAGGTGATGAGAGCCGTGCTCCTTCCTCCCTGTGGCCTCACAGAGTCATTTGGAAAGGAAACAACCCCGTGCAGCGGGAGAGGGCTGGACACAGTCCGCAGCCCTGGAGGGGAGCCCGTGTGTGGTACCGATGCGCCCCAGACTCGAGCCCTTTGTGGCCACCGTCCCAGCATACACTGTTTTCACTACAGGATGACATTTAAATAACGCTGTACTAGGGGAAGAAGAGGACTTTGAAAAGTAATATTTCACCCCTAATTCCAGTGGGGAAGCTGAAGCAAGGGGTTTGCAAGTTCAAGCTCAGCCTGGACCACTCAGTGACTCGGTGAGACCCTGATTCAAAAAAAACACTGAAAAAAAGAAAATAGCGGGGCCTGGGGTTGTCACTTAATGCAAAGACTCTCGGTTCTATTCCAACAACAAAGAATCTTGTCCTTTTTTCCAGAACAGAACTGAAATAAGCTGATGATATTCAAAGAATTGTCTGAAGTCCCACAGCCACTGGGCAGCTGTTTTCACCAGGATCCTCTGGGTTCTGAGCAGCCTGGCCCATCCTGTTGTCACTGACCACTCCAACTGGCCGCTTATGACCTTCGCCTTCCCTTCTGGGAAGCCTGTCACCTTCTTATAATAACCTAAGCCTCCTGGGTCAACGGCTCTGGCTTGGGTCGCTCAGTCTCACAACAAAGACGGTTTTTGCTAAGAGACAAGGAGTAAATAACAAACACCACTGAGCTTGACGCTGGGCCTACAGGGAACGTTCCAGTCTGAGCGTCTCTGCCTGCTCAGGAAAGCTGGGGGTTGGGCAGGGACATCCTCCTGCCCTCCTTGCGAAGCAAGCAGGCTTTTCCATTTAGTGGCATTTCAGAAAATGACTTCGAAAAGGAAAGCATGTAGCATTCTTATTCCTGCAGCTCATATTGTTAAGTATGGTGGAAAAGAAAGAGATTTTGCCCTGCAAGGCTTGGGGTGGAGCCTGTGTTCCTTCTTTCCTTTGTTCGTGCTCTCATCCATTTGCTGTGCAGTTACTTTCTGACTATTCCGATGTCAGGCACAGCACTGGGTACACAGGAGCAGATTGAAGAGATGGCACTTACAAAAGTGAGTAATTTTTGTCCCCTGGCATTGAGAAGCCACGTTTTAGTGTGAAAAACAGGTAGGAGGCAAACTACTTTGGGCCAGAGAAAAGTCTTGCATGAAGCACTATGGAAACTAAAGGCATGCAGTGAATGCTTTTTAAGGTTCACAGAAGAGATCACACCCAAATGAGGTTTTGAAGAATGAATAGGAGTTCAACAGACAGAGAATGTGGGGGAAGGATATTTCATGCAGAAGGGAGAAGAAAAAGACAAGCACACAGAAAGACTAGGAAATGTAATATCCTTTAAAAGACCCTACATGGTTTGTTTCAGCTTCATTTAAATCACAGAACTTTGAGGTCTGTCTGATCCCCTTCAAGATTGTCTGATGCCCTCATTTACAACTCAGATGTGCCATAAAAGGTAAATGTTTTCTTAGCTGATTTTATTATTCTGAGACCCATCCTTCTCTCGTGAAGCGTAATACATTTTTTAGAAACCAGTACAATCACATAGTTTAGTTTGTGTTCATTTTGATCCTTGGTTTCAGCATAATAGAAAATAGAGCAGAAATGGATATATTTCATCTAGGAATGTGACAGTGACACTTGTGAAATTAATGATGTGGAAATTTTCAATGAAAATAACTCTAGGTCAAATTTCTCATTTCACATCTTCAGTGGAGATTTCACGGGCGAGCCCTGCAAGTCAATGGGAGACAGAGCCTCCTAGAGGGTATACATATATTTATATATAAATATCCTCTATATCCCCCCAAGAGGCAGATCTGGGGTATATTCAACAATTACCTAGACATACTTTTCAAAATGAGGATAAGATTACTGATAATACCTTCTTGACAGGCTAATGCATCCTAGCAGAGCCTGCTTTAGGTGATTATAAATATCTGGCATGCATTCATCAGGATTTGAAACCCAAAATAGAAATCTGTAAGTATTAACAGATACTCAGCTTCATTTCTAGACATGGAAGTGTAGAAATCAAATCTAAATGCCAAAAAAAAAAAAAAAAAAAAAAAAAAAAACCTCACAAAATCAAAACAAAAAAAATCTCTCATTATCTTCTTTTAGCATTCACAGCCCAAAAGGTTTTTCAAAGCATTGTGAATCCAAAGATGCAGATTCTAACGTGAGCTAATGACCTTGAACTTGAGGGGAAAAACGTTGATGATGTCCTCTCTTCTCTCGAATAGGACCACTGGGAAGATCATGGAAATACGATGGAATCTACAGCAATACTGAGGAGCTGTCACCTGCTTTGTTTCAGGTTATTCAAACAGCATCAGTGTGCTAATTAAGTCATTGTGATTTAAAGCACCTCCAAGTCCTGGCTTACAAACATAACCTAAGTTGCTTTGGAATTCCTGTGTTTCAACACTCCAGGCCAGGCTCAGATGTGAGTTTACCCTGGCACTGCAGCAAGAGATGGGCCATTTGTTTATCAGCGTTGCCTGGAACTGGCAAGGGTCACTGAAGGTGGGACACCAAATTTAGGTTTGCTCGTCACTCAGCTCCATTTATCGCCCAGGCCACCATCTCCATCGCATCGCCTGGTACTATGCCCTGGGCCAGTCCCTGAGATGGCTGTGCTGTCACACGCAAGCTGTGGGTTAGGTCCAAGATGGGAGAGACTGGGAATCTATGGGCAGCAGCTGGAATGCAGGGCCCTCGGTGCCAACTTGGGACTGGCAGGATGCCAGTGGAGAAGTCTGGGACCCAGTCACAGACCCCTTGGTGTACACTCAACTATGAGGCTTCCAAGGAGGTTGTACTGGGCCTGTGGGCAGTGGGTGCTCTCAGTCAGATACAGGCTGGACTTTCAGCTCCTTCCTTAAAGCTGTGTGATCTTGGAAAGCCATGGAAGCTCTCTGAACTTCAATATCCTCTCATTTTCCTTCCTTCCTTCCTTCCTTCCTTCCTTCCTTCCTTCCTTCCTTCCTTCCGTCCTTCCTTCCTTCCTTCCTTCCTTCCCTCCTTCCTTCCTTCCTTCTCTCCTTCCCTCTTTTTCTTGTCTTCTTCCTCTCTCTCCAGCCTCTCCACCCCCTCCTTCCTCCAACTGTGGAGAAAGACGACACCTTAGGGCAATAGTCAGCATGGTATAGAAAATGGTCATTGATATTCAATTTCTTCCTTGCAGGGGTCCACTAAAGAATGGAGGACTGAACAGAAGACTGGAGAGCAGCTCAGTGGTGGAATGCCTGCCTCCCATACATAAGACCCTGGGTTCAATTTCCAGTACTGGAAGAAAATCAAAACAAAACCAAAAAACCACGCAGGACAGTGCTACACATCTGTGATTTTAGCTACTTGGAAGGCTGAGGCAGGAGGTTGATGAGTTTGAAGCCAGCCTATGCAACTTAGTGAGAATTTGTCTCAAAATAAAAAATACAAAGAGGGCTAAGGAAGTAGCTCCATAATAGTGTATCCCTGGGTTCAACCCTCATACCACACACATACACACAAATCTTGGAGGAAACCTTAGATTATGACTTTACATGGAGACTTCAAGTGACAATGCCGGTGTTTAGCTCCGTGGTTCACTGCATCTCCCACCAAGATGCCTGACTCCCCACAGTGAGTTAAATCTTCTGTACCAGTGGACATGGGGACACACACCTGATGGTGAGGCGATGCTCATGGGCCAAGGAACACAATCTGGGTGTCACTGAAGAGAACACATCTGGAACATAGCACTGGACACCTCATGGAACGCTCACAACAGCCCTTCAGTTAGGTACCATGGCAACATAGACTTTGCAGATGGGGAGACAGAGTCTATACCACTCTCCCAAGGTCACCAGGCTGGAATGGGTCCCCTGGTTAGATTGCAACTCTGATCCCTGCGCCCAAAGCCATGTTCTCGTTTTAATAGTAGCTATTACCATTTACTATTCATCAGAAGCTTTACAGTCATCATCTTTAGTATTGACAATAGCCCCAAACAACAAATTTTGCTATCCCCATTTTGCAGATGAAAAAACTGAATAGAGAGCTTAGGTAGCACATGTACGGTCACACAGCTAGCCCAAGTGTCAGAGCTGCAGGTCACACCCAGCTAGCCCGGCTCTGTGGCTATGCTTCTCAGAAGCTTCTTACAAATGCTGGGGAGCGGACAGTCACCAACGCTTCCATCAACCAGACTTCCCCAGGATGGGGACTGAGATCTGACAGATCCGATCTGTTGTCTCCAACATCCAGGGAGAGGAACAGGAATTTCATTCAGTAAAATACAGAATTTTCTAAAAGTCAGCACTGTTCAAATGTGGAAAGGGCTTGAGAGTTCTCTGTCACTATTGATTTCAGCTCTGGTGGCAATGAGTCATCCAAGTGGCACTGATACTGTGAAGCCGCTTCAAGGGTCCTTGAAGACCTGAAACAGACTGGAGGATCTGAACTCTGGTGGAAGCCTCTCCCTGCACAGATGCTGCCCTGAAGTACCCTCTGCGATGCTGCCTCTTCCCCGGCGCAGGTGAGACTGCTGGCCCAGTGTAGTGAGACAGCATGGGCTTTGGAAAGAACCAAGTTGGTGACTATGGGTCACCAACCCTTGGACTTGGACAAACAGCTCTGATCCTTGAGCCCCGTCCTCAGGCTTGGGAAGTCAGGATGAGGAAGCTTTTCTGAGAAGCTTGTTTTTAGGTTGAATAAGACAATAATCACTAAAATGCAATTTGTCAGTGCTACATATAAATCACAGCAGATATTCAATAATGTAGTTGGTTTATCATTACTGGTGGTAGTGGTACTATTTCATCTTTAATTTTCAAATCCATTCTCTTAATAAACAAGCAAATCCATCCCCTGTTGCTTTTTCTATGGCCCACCTGGCTCAGGCTATCAACCAGCTGTTTCTTAGCCTAGGAGTAGGCCACACGGGTGTAGCCAGGCTATGAGAGAGGCCACCTGGTGTCCTTGCCTTCCAGTCTGTGGAGACCCTGAGTCTCTCCCATGCACAACCCCTGCCTCTCTTGAGCAGCTCTGGTTGAGCTCATGTGGCTGATGATGTGGGCTTTGAAGGGAAGCATGATGCCCACCCTAGACAGTGACCTTGTAGGACACTCAAGGGCGATGACTTCCTCTTAAGGCTCTGAGCACAGATGTGTCCGCAAAGCCCCCAGTCACTGGCACTTTCTCAGAGCCGGAGAAGCAGAGGATTCTTCTTCCCAGCAAGAAAATAAACCCTTGTGTTGGCTCACCACTTTAAAACTGGGGCATGGCAGAGGCGGCCTTTAAACTAAGGCTGTGACACATGGTCCTGTTATGGCTCTTCTGAAACTAACTCCGAGTCGCGCCCTGCTCACATGTGCCAAAACTCACTCTGTCCTTTCCTCATTGTAGGTCACGTTGTACCTTAGTCTAAATCCTGGCTCCACTTCTCGCTTCCATTGTGACCCTGTGCAGGGACTACGCTGTCTTAAACATCAGTTTCTTCCTGAAACATTACTTTTTCAGGATTTTCTATGACAGTTCAATAAGTTCTTACTTATTCTGAGGCTGCCTTGGGCAGTCAGGCACCCATCAAATCAGTGCCAACCGCTGCTGGGGTGAGTCCCCAGCCAAGCTCAGAAGAACTCTTCCACTACTCATGGCCCTCAAGACAATCGCCCTCCTCTACTTTCCTTCCTAGGCTGAATACTTGCAGTTTTTCACTTTTGCAGCCTTCCTGCTTCTCCTCGGCCCTGAAGCACAGCCTTCACACAGTCGTCCGGACCTCGTCCAGACGAGCTGCACGCTCGTCATGGGAAGTCCGCCTGCTTGGAGCTGCGTCTCCTGGCTGTTGTGTTCCTGGGCCTGTGTCCTTCCTCTGGTAAACCAAATTAATCATCTTCTACTTCCTGCTCACCTTGCTCCCCACTCTGACCTCTGGACTTCATCATCACCCTGCTCTTTAAAAGAAATTCTCTACAAGCCATCAGATGTGGGCGTGTGGTTTCTCTAAAAGACCTTGAGTATTTGTACAGTTTTATTAAACTCCCCGAAGTACTTTCTCGTACTCTGTCCCATTCAGTTCTCACAAATCCCTTCGAGACAAGTGGCTTACTTTAATTTCACTGTTCAGAAAAGGGGAGCTGAGAAGCTAAGGGATGTTAGGAGCTAGACTTTGAGCTGACCCCATGATGGATGCTTTTTATTTTCTTCTCAGGGCTTCCAGGATTTCTGAATTTGTTTTCCATCCACCAAGGCTCTATTGCTGTCTCCCTAAGGGGATTTGCTGGTTGGTCTGGTGACCACTGGTGCTCAAACCCGTCTCCTTCCCCGGCTGCCTCTCTCAGCCTCCCGGCCTCTTCTATCTCGATGGCTGGTCTGTGTGTCCAGGTGACAGAATACCTGTCTGTCCAGGCGTGAGGATGGCACCATGCCCTGGGTCAGCTACTCCTCCTGCCTGAATGCCAGAGGTCATTTCCACTGACCACAAATGACTGATTTGTTCAGAAGGGAACCAAATCAAATCAGGAAAATCCCCCACATTTTCTGGGGGATTTTACACATGCACTGGGGTGAAATGAATGTGACCGTCGTTGAGATTTAATCACAAAGGTCAGCTGGGGACACAGGCTGGCCCACTTTGCCACTTCTCTTCCGTTCGTGCCACACTGTTCCTGCATGACACTGCCTCTGCTGCTGCAGCCCTGAGGCAGGAGAGAGCTCATCAGAGCGTGTGTCACTGCAGTCAGACAAGGTTCCCTGGGTGGTCACCCAGTTCTTCCTTCCTGGAGAAGCCACTGCTTTGCTCAGGGAGGAGCAGAAATTCAAAGCGGCAGCTTTGATCTCTCGGCAGGGCTTCCAGCCAGGCCACTGCTTCAAAGCACTTCTCAGTCCCAACCACACTTACGCCTGCCATTCACTGAGTATTAAAAAGAAATCCTTGACTGAAACTTACCGGAAACTCTGGGAATCACGCCTTGCCCCCGCTGGGCATTACACTCCCACTACACAAACACTCTTAATGAGTTTTCATCATAGTCATGTCTTTTGGGAGGACTACTTTTGATTAATTTCAAATGATTAACAGCAAGCTTGTCACTGAACATCTTTGGATATAAAATCTATTTGAAACCAACAAGCCAGTGTCTCAGTCTTTCACTTCCTTCCTTCTAGTTTGGGGGACAATGTCTTCTGTAGCAATGTGGCGGTTACCACTGCACTTCATGGTTTAGAAAAATGCCGCCATGTCCCTATCAACTCTTGAGGGAGAGGTGACAAGATCCCAAGGACAGGAAGTTTCTGACAATCCCTCACCCACTAGTTACATGGTGCTTTTTGGATTAAAATGCAAGCATCTTGACTTTGGGTCCAGCGAATTCTCATTATTTCCTTCTTCTTTCTGCCATCCGACTAAGATGACAGGAAAAGCGATTTTAGGCCAAAAGTAACTCCTTACTCAGTTTTCGGTCCCTGAGTTTCCCCTGAACCACCAGCCCCAGAGAATCAAACCCAAGGCCTCATGCATGCTAGGCAAGCACTTTCGCGCTGAGTTCCAGCCCAGATCCTAAACCCCCAGATATTAATCAGGCCTTTAATACTTTTTAAGCAATCACTAGATCAACACCAAGATCAAGCATAACTTGAGGAATCTTGCACAAAGCCAGACTGGATGCTGGTACATGAGACGTAAAACACTCAGTCCCTCGGTGGGGTCCCTTTGGGTCCCCATCAGCCACTCAGACAGCCCTCACCAGGCTCACATGCCTGCTTCACTCCACTCACCGGTTCGCGTGCTCTGTGTCGGCTCACTGAGTGGGGGGGGGCTCTTGCCCTCTTTAAATATATGGAGGCTGTTAGCAGCCTTGGCCTGCGAGGGAAGGGCAGGAGGGAGGCCGAGGGGAGAGCGTGAGTAAGACACAGCAACACAAGTGCTATCAGAAGCTGAAAATAGCCTGTGAGCAAAGCCCCGAGTTTTGTTCCCCCCACACCAGCTGGTGGCTCTTGAAGACAATATCACTGGACTTCTATTTTAATTGTCAGTTTCCTACAGCACCAAGGGACCCATTTGTGTACTATATGATTTCCGGTCAAGCGCTTGGGGTAGAAACAGCAGCAAAGGATTTTGTATCTAAGGACCAGTTCTCTGGACCCCCACTCCACTGGCTGTGCTAGAAACTGACCCAAGTTACCTGCAAATGAATCAGGAGCCATTTCTGGGAACCTTCTGGAATTCTTAGACATGAGCCACCACACTCGTTAGGAGAACTCAGAGCTAAAAATAAGAGGAAGGGACGGGGTCTGAAGTGATATGTAACTAATCTCGTTAGGCGTTTGGAGGTGGGGGAAGGTCAGCTAATCACCAGAAGCCTTCACCTGTAGTAGGAAGAATAAACTTTCTCTCAAGTTTTGAGGTTCTTTGTTTACCATTTCCCTTTTGTTTAAGAATCTGACCGGACAATACATTATTTTAACCACCATAACATCATGTTTATGACACGTTATGAAAAGTCTCTGCAGACTCATATTTTGTTTGGAAGTCTAATTTCTCTTTGACTGGAATGCATGTGGTTTGCCTTTGATCAATATCATGGATCCACATGAATCGTAGAATTGATCTATTTATTTATTGGTACTGGGGATCAAACTCATGACCTCGCATTTGCCAGGCAGGCGCTTACGCTGCCTAGCTAAACCCCCACCCCTGAATCACGCAATTTAATAGCTGACTCTGAGTTCAGAGATTTAAAGGCCAATTCTTCATGCAGTGGATGAGAAACCTGAGGCATCTAATCTGAACAATGGCAGGGTCTAGACTGGAATTCACGCCATCTGTTCCTCAGGTTCAGGTACTTTCATGTTGACCTGGAAGTCGGAAGTTAGGTGTGATGAGCCCCAAACAAGGAGGATTATGAAATGGAGCCCTTCAAGTCTCCTCTGTTATATGCCCACAAAGTACTTGATTAAAAGATGGACTGTTTTACTGTCAAAATAATTGTGATATCTGGGATGTGGTGGTACATGCTTGTAATCCCAGCATTTGGAAGGCTGAGGCAGGATGATTGCCAGGACTTCAAGGCTAGCCTAGGCTACACAGTGAGTTTAAGACCGGGCTGAACCACACAGCGAGGTCCTCTCTTGAAAACCCAAAAACAAAAAAATAAGATAAAAACCAAAAGACAGAGAGTTGTGATAATTTCACAAAGATGGCTGGACCACCACTTTCCAGGAGACATCCTTGGTCTGAATTTTCATGGAATAACATGTTCATCTTAGAAAGGAGACAGTGATGAATACCTTTGAATATTAAGGCTGTACAGGACTTCTGAAGTCCACTAGGGTAGTGACATCCAAAATTAGGTGTATGTGTGCTAGCAACAGTACTTTATTCTGCAGATGATCTTAAATAGAACATGAAGGCACAAAGCTGTAGAGTTAGAAACCAGTAGCACACTTTTACTGCCTCGCCCTTGCCGACTTCCTAGCCCCTGACCCTGCCCTCACACCCTGCCCACGAGATGTGCAGACCATCTGGGCTGTCAGTTTCAGATCATCATTAGCTGTGCATCATGCATTCAAAGTTCCTTTAACTTAATCATAAATTATGCCATTTTCTTCATTCAGCTGCTGCTTCTTGCAGACTTTCTGTAGCTTATGTTTTTCATTGTTGTGTATAAGAAAATGAGGATGCATTCTGGATGAACTGATTAAGAGAGACTCAGTCTCACTAAAAGTATTAAGTTCTCATGCATTTGGAAAAGAACTGGCTGATGTTTTCTGGGTGTTTTTCCTTGGTCTTCTCTCGGTCTTCATCTGGTCTTCCCTCTGTGTGTGTCTGTGTCCTATTCACCTCTTCCCATAAGCATCAGTCATATTGATCAGGACCGACCCATATGATTCCATTTGACCCCCATTATTTCTTTGAAGGTGCTGTCTCTAAACACAGTATCACATTCAAGGGTACTGGTAGTTAGGACTTAAACATACGAATTTTGGAGGGACCCAGTTCAACCTTAGTTTTGTTTTCCACTTTAATGCTACTGTGGGTTAACCTAAGAATCTAGTTTTCAAATGCCTTTTAGTCAGAATTAAAAAGAAAAAATTTTTTACCACATTCTAGCAGTGCTGAGATAGTGATTTTGATGTCATTCTTATTTATGGTCTTTTATTAACTTAAGTTTCTTTCCTCTGGAAAATTTTAGGATCTTCTCTTAAATTTCATAAAAATCCTCTCAGGGCTTTTGACATTGATTTTGCTTGATAAATGGAGCATTACTTCAACCTGAAAGCTGACATTTATTTTTCAGCCTTAGAAACTTAAACACTTTTTTTCATTAATTCCTCCTTCCAGAATTAGAACTTTGTCCTTTTATGTTTATTTAAGAATTCCTTCTCTAAAGGATACAAGTGCAAGTGTGTTTAGGTGTGTTAAGATAGATGACCATATTACTAAATTTTTGTTGGATCATTGAACACAACTGTTTGCAGTCTCACTGTTTGAATGCCCACTTTTTATGCTTTTAAGCCAGTAACTTGAACAACTATTTCTAAGATGACAATATGTAATCTATTAACTAGTGATTTCTTACTGTTTTTTTTTTTTAAATTCTGTATTCCTTGTACCCTTATACTGTTTTGTTTTTTTCCTTTAAATAAAAGATAAAAAAAAGAAGGCCTTAAAGTACTACTTGAATGTTATCCAAGTGCATTCTGCTACTCATCAACTTATTTTCTAATAATTTATAATTGCTTTATGACATATAATCCTGAATTTCTCTGAGGATATTAATTATGCTAATTCAGGGGAAGTCTTTTATTTGCTCTATTAGTTTTATTTCCTTGGGAATCAGTTTTTGTTTGTTTGTTTTTTTTTAGTTTGGTGTTTCTCGTTCAAGACTCACTCTTTCTTTCACATGTATTTGGGATTCTTGGCTAGATGTTTATCACTTTATTTATATTCCTGCTCGCCTCTTGATATCACTGTGTTAGAGGTGTTCCCCGCAGTAGTCATGGGTAGGGGTGGATAGTGCTACCTGGTGGTGTGCTGTGCTGGCTCCTCACCTGGCCGGAATGTGGGATGGGACCTCTCACTCTCTCAGGAGGTCACTGGCTCTCCAGGGAGTTTCCTGGGCTCTCCCACACCTAAGCCTGGGGGCACACTGAAAACAGATGGTGGCTACTGGCCCAGAATCCATTTCTTAATCATCATCCCGGCCCCGCATGCTCAGAGCCACTTCTAAGGAGAGCCACTGATTGCGGGTTTGCACTGCTCCCCTCTGCACAGTGCCCAGCCGCACACGTTCCAGCCTTTCCTCTCTGCAAATCCACATCTCTCTGCTTTCTGGAAGCTCTTGAAGTTTCTCCACCTTTTTATGGGCAGCCTTTTTGTTGTCGTTGTTGCTGTTCCTTGGTGTTAGTTCTGATTTATATTCTATTAAACCTTTTACTGGAGTTCCATGGTTCACTGACAGTCTCCAGGCTGTACTGTCTAACACAGCAGGCAATGACAGCACATGGCTGCTTAAGTCAAAATTATATAAAATGAAATAAAATTTGAAAATTTGATCCCTCAGTCCCAGCAGCCACATTTCAAGTGCTTCATAACCACCTGTGAGGAGTGATAGTGGATAGCACAGGTACAGACGGATCTGTTGTTTCTGAAAGCTCTGTTGGACAGCCCTGCTCTAGAGCTTCCTTATCCGAAAAACCCCTGAATCTCTTTCAAGATGCAATGAAGAGTATATAATATTAAGCGTTTGTTGGACACTTAGCAGGGTGCTCACTGAATGCCAGCTGAACATTGACTCAGTGATTAGTGAATGGTAATGGTAAGACTTGAGCTCACTGTTTCTGCCTCAGTCCTCTCCCAGGATAGGTATTAATCAGCAAACCATTAAGAAGAACAGGCCATGGAATGGCCAGCTGTGAAGTGAGGACCGTCTGAGATCACACACCCTACAACATTACCTTATGCCCCAAGTCAGAAAGGAAAGGGAACTAAATTATGAACAGTTGTTTCTTTAAACCTGTTTGTTAAGGAGATATTATTTTGTTAATTGTTAACAATGTTGTTAACTTTGTTAAGGAGATATTATTATTTTCCCCCATTGTATGAGTGAGGAATGAAATAAACGCAAGCTCATAGAAATGAGGAAAACCTCCCAGTGGCCTCATGGTTGAAGGTACAACATGTTGATGACAGTGTTAGGACTGGAACCCACAGCTGCCTTGTCTTCATTCCCTACAATAACTAAGACACAGTGAATCACTGGGAAGCGCACATCACAAGGGAGATGGGGAATTCAAACCCAGGTTTCACTTCCAAACATTTATACAACCTGGTCCCCAAATTTGTTTGATCTCAATCCCCTCAGTAAACATAATGAGCAATACCCACCCGTGTGTGTACACACACAATGTTCACATGCATACACTTAATTTTTTCTTATAAATTATAAATACATTTCCATAATAATACTTATATTATAAATCATACTTAGAACTATGTGCTAAAATGATAAGGTAAATATCATTCCAATTCCAATTCTTTATCTCATATCCTACTATTTCACATCTTCTTTAGGGTGCTGTCCACCCCTGCTCCAACCTTGGAAACCATTGCTCTAAACACATCACACAAAGGAAGGATTGTTTTATAGAACTTGAAGGTCCAGGAATATTAGCTTTCATCTGCTCATTCAAACCAGCCTGAAATGAAACATAATTGGACTGTAATGAATTCAATGTCAGCCATGTTCTTGGAGTCACTAGAGCTTTTCACCGCCTCTATGCACCAGTGGGTTGACATTTGTCATTGGTTCTTATTTCAAAGAAAATTAACTCTCACCTACCATTCAAAGGCTGCCCCTGACCCTGTGCCCCTTCTGTGAGAGGCACAGAGATGGAAAAGCAACACGTGAGTGCATTGAGATGTTTCTTTTTTCCCAAGAAATAAAATATTATCATCTTTACTGAAATA